TTATAGTTAACTAGAAAACAGATTTTCTTTAGTTAGCTAGACAAAATAAGAGTACAATACGTGGCACTAGTTACTTTATGTGACCACAAAGAGTAACTTAACTTATAAGTCAATGAAATTTTGTTGATGTACTTTGTTGCTGGAAATAACTCAACCAGACCACTTTATTATTAATTGATGAAATAAACAATAAGTTGATGGTATAGGAATGCTGGAGCCTATTTTGATTTATTCATGTTAATTTTTTTTTTTATCATGTCCACCAATTCAACATAACTAATTTTTTTTTTGTGGATTGTCTAGTATAGGCAATGAATTTTCTACAAAAATATTCAAGACCATAGAGAAGAATTCAAAAAATAAACCATGTCAATGAGATTTTGCAACAATACTTTCCTTAGTTTGAAGTCCGGAAACTGATATAACAGCTTTCAAAAACCACTTAAACCTGACAAGTTCGATCACTTCCCCAGCGACACCTACTTGACCTATGCAGACACTTTATAAGTTGAGTGAAAAATCGCTTCAAAATAGAACGGTCATTTGTAACATATCCCACTATGTGAACTTATTTATTTTACGAATTCCCGTTAACATATTGAAATTATCATCCATAAATACCTTATGATGAGTTTGATACCGTTGGATAATGTTAGTTAGTGTTAAATAATGAGTTTGAACCAATTTTTCAGTTCAGACACAGATTTTAATGAAGATCGGTTAGAACTCATCTTCACACCGGATCAATATGACTCTGAATTTTACTTATAAGTAGTTGACTTAATGTACGATGCTATAACTTTAGTTAGTGTTAGGATAAAGAACGGAAGAATGATACTAGCTGATTCATAAATGAATGGATCCAAAGAAATTTGCGGTTATGACAGTATCAGGACCAATTAAAAAAGAATTCTTAGTTAAAGGACCAGTAACAGAATTAACTACTACTGTACCTAAACAAAGTTGAATTAAAAGCCAGCAGAAACAAATCGACTCCCATACATTAATATTTCAATCAGGTTGATATATTTGGAATCAGAATAATTACAAGAACGTCGATTGTCTTTCAATACAGGAAACTAATAATTTATTGGAATATAGAATCAGATAAAAACTGACTAGAAGTTACACATACAAAAGATTCACCTAGATTTCATAGGAACGGTGATCGGATAACAACCTATATTTATTCGCTTTTCAGTTATATATAACTATTTCTTTGTGTCAAACATTTTGTAGTGATAAGAAAACAAAAGACAATAGCTAGTCGTACGAAGATTACAATGCGAATCAGAACGATTAGGTATGAACTATAGACTATCAGTACAAACTTCTTCAGTGTGTACATAATAAAAAACGGTTATATGTTATATTTGTACTGTCTTAATTGTAAGCTTTTTCGTTCATTAACGTTTACCGTTGAGTAAGGCAGGTCATGTAAGTCATGTATGTAAAGCATATTATTACCTAGATAATCTGAATGGAAAAAACCGAATACAGAATAATTCAAGTAACTTGACTGTTAGTGTATATTGAGCACGACTGAGAATCCTAATTGATCAAACGAAAGTTAGCGTTTACAGTAACCAATTTATTATACATATTCGACAGAGATGTTTTCAGTAGTATTTTGTAAATATCAAATAAATGTACATTATTGTATTTCTTTTGGTGAACTACTGATTAATCAATTTGCGAATATCGAAATACTTTTTTTCGCCAAAAACTACTCAAAGTTCTTCAGACTAATTTTTTTAACCGACAATCAAGTTTGTCTGATAGATGAAGTCGATCTGAATTTATGGATGATATACTTGTCTTTATCCCACATACCTACATTGAATTAAATAACTTTACAGAGTTTTCGTATTCTCTAAGTAGAAGTAAAGAAAACGTCTTTTTTCATTGGGATATATTGGTTCACAAAAAAGCTAAACTTTATGACTACTGCTGTTTGTTACAATCCACTGATTTCAAATTTAAGCGGTAACTATATATGGACTAAAAACGACCAGTCAATCGATTCTATAAACAAATTTCCCCTGACAGTAAAGAACTGACCAAAGTGAAAAGCATTCATACCTCGTTATATTTATGTACACATATAGTATTTAAAACTTTGAAAAACGTCATTATACATTTGCTGTCTAATGAACAGTATTCCGAAAAATTATTTCTTGTTTTTGACTGAGCTAAAATTGATAGACTTGCTTCGTTATACTATATTCAATACCACGATAACTTTATCAAAACCAAGAGTTTCTGTTAGCTGTTAGGCGAGAAAATGCATGATATAACCGATTTAGAATTTTCGCTCAGTTGATAGTTTTCTTGTGAAAAGAAAGATGACGATACTGGATAATCACCACAAACATGACATAAAAAGCAGATCTAAAGACTTATGTTATTGCACACTGTCAATGATAATTATCAGTTTCATAAAATGAAAATATCTGAAATAATCTATTACTCGTTGTCAATTATTATACGAAATTCATTTCACACATTGTTAACCATAGGTAATTATAAAAACTGGTTGAAAAAAAATCATAGTGAAGGAAGCATAGTTAATGCAGTGACTACTAACGACGTCGAAAAATGAAAGTAGATTTATATGCTTTTAGAACAGACATTAACACGATGATGTAATCTGTTAACTAACACAGAATCGAAATAAATATTGGCAGATTTAGAGATGTGAAAATTTGAATTTTAAAGACATTGAAAACGATTGTTATAAAAAAGCTTATCAATCTACGTGAATATATGAGATAAAACAAAGTTGATAAATGAGAAAGGACCCATATTACTCATTGGTGAGGAGACATTAGGGATCGAACTGCATACCTTTTCACTAACCAAAATATTTTGAAGATAGTCGTTAACTTATCGCTGTTTTTTAAACGTGATTTTAGTAACTAGACTTAGTCATCATGGCATTTGCTTGTCGCTCTGTTTTTAGTATTTTAAGAACACCTTTACCGTTTGTTTTTATTGATAATGACTTCAAATAGTACCTTCTCATATCAGGATTATTGTTTACAAAATCGAATATCCTGTGAGGCTTAGGCCGAGTTTGTGGGTACGGTGTATCCACCTAAGCCAGTTGGACAACTTTGATTCGAAACAAATCGTGCACTTGAGTTCTATCATCCTCAGGGAATGAATAGCTGATACCCATTATCAGTCACTGGCTACTATAAGACTGCATCTCTTGAAATCGCTCCAGTGCCTTTTGAATTAAACTTTTAGGGCAAAGTCCCGAGGTGTGGCCCCCTAATAAAACCATCTGCTTCAGTTTGGACACTCGTGCAGTATTTAAAACCATACACAAACTTGTTGATTTATGTGACACACATATATTTTGGTGCCTCTTTATATCACTGTTTAGATACGTAAATATAAAACTTCATACTGTGCTATAAATATTCTTCATTATCCTATATTTGAGTAAAGTAGATATCAAGCATAATGATTGTCAGCGTAACTAGGAATGATTATTTACTTAATTTAGTGAATAGTTTTGTTTAAAGTGAATCGAAATAAAAATGCATAATAAATAGTTGTTCAGTTATAAAACTTATTAATCCTCCAAAATTAAATTGCATATGTAACTCAGATTAGAAATGTCACTCATTTTACATAGATATAATAAAAAAAAATATGAAAACTATGTTTCCAATAAAAGAATTATTACATATACCAAAAAAAAACAAGAATTCTAATCTGATAAGTATAGTTTGAATCAATCAGAATTAAAAAAAAAAGGCCTTATGATAACTAATTCAAACCATGTATGTGTGCTTTGTTTCGTTCACTGTTCTACTCGAATTAACCAGCATTGTACTAAATGAAACAAAGCATGTAAAGGTGAAATGTTTAATTCTTTTTTATTTTTTCAAAGATAATTGACTTTCATCATCACTTGAATTGTAAGTAATGTAGAAATTTAATTAGGCTTTGTACCACTACTACTACTATTTACAACTGAACACAGCTATTGACATTAAAATTCAATACATAGATAGAATATAAACTGATTAAAGTTGATCACCTAAAAAACTATTCACTATAAAGTCAAGTAAATTACACTAGTGAATAATATACATTCAACTAAACAATAGTTACAACATGTAAATGTTTCAATTAATGCAAATACATTTAGAATATGCAAAAGTAACAACACCACCGAACAACGCCAACACCACCGAACAACAACATTCTTCGTTTAGAATAAAAAAAAAATTTAGCAACACCGAATTAGAATTGTATGCAGTGAAACTTATCCATTAGAAAAAAGATAATCTCATACAATACATAAATTTTTTTTTTCTCATTAAAAGAAAAAAAAAACAATATGAAAGTAAATTATTGATATAAAATCAACAATAATGAAATCACAAATAATAATAATCATAATAATAACAAAGAAAAAAATTTATTTGTTAAAATACAATTTTTTTTAAAAAAAAATGGAAAAGAAAAAGAAGAAAAGTCAATTCTTTTTGTAGTAGACAGATAAGATAGATGATAATGCTGATTATTATTATTATTATTATTATTATTACCATTGTTATTGTTTGTCTGTGTTGTATTGCTCTCTTTGGTGTAAACAATAAACGACAATATGATTTAAAATGTGTTGTTTTTTTTACACAAACAAACAAACAATTTACAATATACACAAGTAAACAAACAATCAATTAAAATAAACAAAACCAGTGAGTGTATAAATAAACAAACCAAATCGACAAGTCATTCATTATATTAGAGAGGGAAGTTTGCTTTTAGTTTGCACAAATTTTCATAAATAAGCATAATTTTTCTAAGCTGGTGATATTGTACAACGGTTAACAGCATACTACTACTACTACTACTACTATGTACAGAACCTGAAACAGTTTGGCAATATACACACACACACATACATACATACATAAAAGTATAGTTCAGATGAAGTGTAGTAAGAATGAATACTTTTGTTTTGTTGTTTTTTTTTTGCTGATACAAAAAAAAAACGATGCTAGAAATACAAGAAGGCGAACAATAAGAGAATTATGTTTGTCAAGTTGTAAATGAATTTTGATTAGTAAATAAATAATTAATAAGAAATCGATCATTAGTGTTATTATTATGATTATTATTATTATTATTATTATTATTATTATTATTATTATGATCGTCATTATTATCTTTACTGTTATCATTAGAATCGATAATCTTATCTGAATCATTGATTTCAACTAGACCTTTATCTTCCCAGATAGCTATATAATATCCGTCAAGAAGTGGTGGTCCACCTGGGAATGCTAGTAAAGCTATTGTTCGATGACAAAATGATCGTGAATTCGACTCAGCATTATTTGGAGTCCATCGATGGATACGATAAGCTTCAAGACCAGAGAATACAGATGAATGACAAGCTTGATAGGTTAAACTATGCTGATACCATTCTTTCGATGGCCATTGTAATTTATTCAAATGTCTATTCAATATTTGTCCAGTATCAATAATCTAAAATAGATAATATGCAAAAGATTAATCTGTGTATTTTCTTCAGTATCGAATATCAGTAGAATATTATCATTTGATAATTTGTAGATTTAAAAAAAAAAACTCTTCAACTCACATCATTTTATACAAATGAGAAAAGTATCACTAGACCTTATACATAACTCTGCGTTTAAGAATTCTATAGAAGAGAATTTTATGCTTTTCTGAATGAATTATTCTAGTAAGAAAAACACCGATCCGAAAATGATAGAAAGCAAAATTGAATAACAGCTGTTCACCGCAGCAAATTAATAGCTTAGAGCTCTTGAATAATGCTAAATTAAAGACAGAACCACTAACTTGATGAGTAAATTTTTTCCAACAGATGAAATCAGTTTATAGGTCAGTCGCTTTCTCTCTCACTCGACCTAACTTATAAACATAGAATAAATAGTTAAGTCAATCAGATGTATAATGACAGTCGTTATTGGCTAGTATCAGTCACAGAGTATGATATTTGAAAAAAACTTTTATTTCAAGTAAAAAGCAAACCCAGTAAAAAATGTTTTTACAATAGATAATATTCTGAACTAGAAGAAAAGATTATAATTATAATCACAAATAGATCTTTGTGTAGTAGTGATTGCTGAGCACGGACGTGCTACTGATGTTGTACAGATGAAGAATGAAGAGTTTATAATCAATCCATCCAAATCAGAGAACACAACAATTCCAACATTCTAATCCCGAAATAAAAATAATATTCTCCGTCACCTTTAAATTACAAGAACTGATAGAAAGCATATATTTTTTAAACTTACTTCTTTTTCCTTAGCAGAACAATCATCAAAGCTTCCTTCAAAATAAAGAAAGAGTGCATTACAATGACGCACTGGACAATGGGGTGAACAACATCACAAAAGTTTAAGACGACATTTCTTCGGGATAATGGGAAGCTCAACGAATTCAAGATAACTCTCGGTAGTAAGTTCTGAATAATTCACGATCTACTCAAAGGAAAGAAAACTAACAAGGAGAACAATTGGAAAGGCATCAAAGAGGCAATCACTCCAACATGTCAGGAGGTTCTGGGCCATAAGAAGTACCATCATAAGGGATGGATCTCTGGTGGTACTCTTGATAAAATTGAAGAAAGGAGGAAAAAGAAGCCAGCAATCAACATCTACGAAACAAGAGCAGAGAAAGCCAACCCACAAGCTGAATACACAGAAGCAAACAAGAAAGTGAAGAGAAGCATCACAGCTGACAAGCCTAAATGTGTAGAAGATCTAGCTATGACGGAGGAAAAGGCAGTAAGAGAAGGGTTCATGAGACAACTATACGATACAAAAAAGAAGCTCGCTGGAAAATATAGTAAAGCAGAACGACCAGTAGAGAACAAGCAAGGCAAAGTAATAACCGACATTTGAGAACAGCGAAACAGGTGGTTCGAGCACTTCGAAGAACTGTTGAATCAACCCACCCAACATCGAACCAGCATCCACGGACCTCCCAATTGGTGTTGACCAACCAACAATTGAGGGGATCAGCATCGTCATCAAACAAATCAAGAGCAGCAAAGCAACAGGATCAGACAACACTCCAGCAGAGGCAATGAAAGCAGACGTGGCAGCAACTGCAAAAATGTTCCACATTCTTTTAAACAAGATTTGGGTGGACGAACAAGTAAGAATATATTGGAAAGAAGGATACCTGATCAAACAAGTGCGAAAACTACAGAGGCATCAGTCATCTCTCAGTACCAAGGTAAATTCTTCAACAGGGTGTAATTGAATGAAGGACTTCGTGGAAGCTCAACTTCGAGGTCAACAGGCTGGATTTCGTAAGGATCGTTTGTGTACCGAGGTAGCCTACTTTCACCCTTTATCTGTCTCTTAATAATCGGCTGGATTATGAAGATGTCAACATCTGGAGAGGAGCACGGTATACAGTAGACAGCCAGATTGCAGCTGGATGATTTGGACTTCGCAGACGATCTGGCTCTTCTATCGCACACGCAACAACAAATGCAATAAAAGACGACCAATGTAGCAGCAGCAGGTCTCAACATACAAAAGGTAAAGGCATGATCCTCTGATACAACACAACATGCACCAACGAAATAAAACTTGATGAGAATGCCTGGTAGGACGTAAAAAGCTTTACATATCTGGGCACAATCGAACAGCTTCAATAAATGAAATCATTGAAATTCAAATTTCATGAAAAATTTCACAATCAATAATGCTAGACACCAATAATCAAGAGAAGTAATAAACTAAAGCATACTTTAACTTTTTGACTAATTTTATACAACTGTTCCATTGGACAAGAAGTAGAATCAAAATGATGACTTTCACGAAATGTATTTGTTGTGGTAGACCAAATGCCTCCAGTTATATTATCCATTTCATTTTGTTGATGAATTAATGCAGTTAAAGTTGTTTGTCGATTAGTATCGAATTGTTTAGTATAAGACCATTTACTAAGATTATCATTATCATTGTTGATAATAGTTGTTATTGGATAGCTAGATAATGTTAATTGAGCAGTTGGGTTATTATTACAAGAGGTACTTGGTAGATTAGAGTTCAGTTGTTGATTTGTATTACGTTTAAATAACGGTAGCTTAGTGGTGGAGTCAATTTGACCTGGAATGATAAAAATTTGAAAAGGAAATAGATTAAAAGTTAGGTGGAAACTTCAATTTGGATTACTGTAATCTGAGACATATTCGAACATAATGCACCTAAATAATACGATAAAAATTTAACCCGTCATTATATCGACTCAGTTTAACGAAGTAAAACACGAAAACCTAACAACTATATATTAAAAGATTATAAATGAAAATTTGTATCGCAATCAAGTGTTATTTTATTTTGTATTGACTGAGCCAATTCTGTGCTGGTACTTAGAGCTACGGGGGTAAACAATGACATGCGTGAAACACATTTTTGAAACCGTGAATCGATCAATGATTGACCACCATTAGGAACCTGGAAGAATTGGACGGCCGTTTCGTCCTGGTATGGGACTCATCAGCACTGCACATCCACAACTCTTGCACTCCGCAGGATTCGAACCCAGGACCTTCAGTCTTGTGCGCGAACGTCTAACTTTTGGACTACTGAGCCGGCATCTAACGGTGTTATTGTCTAACTTGATTCAATATGTGAAACATCCAGTAGTTGGTATAAATCATTTGTGATTGTAATAACTAATGCTATTACATCAGTAAATCACTGTTATCAGTTGGAAATAGCAAAGAAACAGCATTTATCTATTGATCCATTTATATGTCAAAAATTTCACACTTATACAGTAAATTCGTAAGTAATAACAACAATTAAAACAATATTGAAAAATTAACCAAGACGTTTTATTATTGTAGATAAGTTTATTTCAAATGATGTTAGACGGAGTTAAATTGTAAACCGTTTCCAAAAGTGTTTACAATTGATAAGAGATTTTGACTGAAACTAGTTTAATTTGACGGTTTGTTTAAACTTCTGACCTAAATATTTCCCAACTATGAAGATAATGCAAAACATTTTCTTGTTATAAATTTATTCAACTGATCAATCATACAGCCTAACCTTCACACTTAAAATCTATTGTGGGGATGACTACTGTAAAATTCCAATACGACCAGCAGAGTGATTGATGTTTTCTTGCTTTAACCATAATTTCGAAAGGTGTTTTACAACCAAATGTACATACCAAATAGATTATAGGAATAAAAAAGTGTCATGAAACTGAAGCTAGTTAAAAAAATATGCGCAGATAACATTGGATTGAGAATAAATCACGAGTAAAAATGCTTTAATCGGAAATTTTCCAATAGTTATAATTCATTGCAATAATATTGAATCGTTTTATACAGAAAATTGTTTGCTTTAACAAAAAAAAAATACGGTAGTAATGAAAGTTAATATGCCCATTGCTGTGTCATTACGGCTCATAAATTAGTAATCTATATGTTTTATATAAAATAGCAATGCAATTTAGAATATACGTTTCACTTTATTTGGAACTAGTCAACTGCAATGAATGTAGTGTTTAAATCCACACTGTAACTCAAACTCATTATCATTCGCCTTGAAACGCTCAAAATAATTGAGTCCAGATAGTCAGTCACCTACTAGTGAAACAAGCATTGCTCGTATACCGTGGGACAACCGAGTAAGCAATGCTGTCGTTAGGAAACGAGTACTAGGCAAGGATGACAGATCAATAGATGAAGTGGTGAAACTTCATCAGTTGAGGTGGTTGGGACATGTGCTGCGTATGGCCAACCACCGACTGCCTCGACGAGCTATGTTTTGTGGTGTGGGAGTAGGTTGGAAGAAAGCTAGGGGCGGCCAAACCAAAACATGGAAGAAATCCATAAAGTCATTGACTAGTGGACTGAGCCATGTCGGTAATTGTCAACTACCTGCCTGGTTGGGGTCCGCGAGATGATAATAATCGATGGTTAGAGACCTTGAATGACATGGCTCAAAATCGTTCGCAATGGCGCCGGTGCATTAATTTTTTGTGTTCTCTCAAATGCTAATCTTCTGGATTCTTCAACACCTCTAGTTTCGGTTCTCTAAACTTTTCTCACTGAATCATACTTCTTGAATAATATCTTCTAATCTTAAACTCTCCGATTACTTCTAATTCCCTTACTACCTCTTCTACTATTGGATTTGAATTGACGATTACTTCTCTGTGCTGATGTGGTATGGCAACATGAACTGATGTACTTACGTATGAAGTTCTACGTTGCATCTGACTGACTGACTGACTGACTGACTGAAACAAGTATAAAACTTATATCATCACTAGAAAAGATTTGAAGTACTCGACTGTTAATTTCTTCTACTGAAGTTTGCTTGGTCTTTGTTTACATATGTGCAAACTGAGTGGACTGACTCGATTTACAAATAAATACACGCTTAAGAAAATGTGTACAGATCATATACACTACTGTGAAGAAATATACATAATGATATTACAAAAAAAACATAAACTGACTTCATTGGTGACTATTTTCAAATTATTCTATATACATCTTAATTACAATATCAATAAGAATGAATAAACAAATTAACCAACAATAACCACAATAAAATAATTACTACCACATACCATCGATTTTGTCTTTTCTATCATGAAATAACTGACGAAAACGTCTCCAAAAATCACGTATACGTAGTAAAATATTGAAAATGGATAATTCTCCGCCAGATACATGAATATAATCATTATTATCACTGGCAAAACTAGTAATTAAAGGACTAACATAAATTGGATAACCAATTGGAGGATCACAACTAGAATTGATTAAATTTCGTAAGACTGGATTAGCACTTTGTATACTACCACGTTCTTCATTGTTATTACGTAAGAATATTTGTTCACGTTGTTGACCAGCCCATAAGCCTCGAACACATTCAGGATTTAACTATCATGAACAAAAAATTCGTGAAAATAAAATTGAAGATACAGAATGTGAAGAAACACCTAATCTAGATAAGAATAGCTACTGATTTTTTTTAATCGTTTTTACAGTTCAGCAGTAAATCCAGACAGACTGATATAACGCAGAACTTCGTACATAAGTACATCACTTCAGGTTGCCATACCCCATCATCACAGATACGTAACTGTCACTTCAAATTCAAAAGTGATAGCGATAGTAGAAGTATTAGCAGTAATGGAGAAGATTAGGGAGCGAAGACACGATTACAGAGGTATAATTCAGTGAGATAAATTTAGAAGGAGAAAGATAGAGATGATGAGGAATTCAGACCACAGAGTGGATGCACCTGCGCCATTGCGAACGATTCTGAGCCATGTCATTCAAGGTCTCTAACCAATGGTGACTTTCGTCTCGCGGACCCCAACCAGGTAGCCTACATCTACCAACATGATACAGTCCACTTGTCAGCAGTACATCCAACTAAACTTATTGTAAATTTCTTCAAAATACTAGATGTTAAAGTTGTTTCTGACTGAGATTAACGTGCACACTCTACATACTAATCAATCAGTTGACTGAATGATGAAACTTTCAAGGACAACGAATCACAAACAAGGACAATAGAGGGCTCTTGATATAACTAAAGAGAATGAAAACTCCACAATTAAATAATCTAGCTTAAAGAACTCAACAACACTGAAAACATCCATTTGAGCTGCTAATTCTCACTACGTCTTAATAATGTCATCCATATCGATTTCTATGCATAAAACAGGATATAATAGCATGACAGTAGCTAATGTAGTAGAAGCATGAATAAATGTTTGTCTTAATCAATCATTTGAAGGTAACAAATACTAGACTACTTATTTCAAAATTAAGCAATAGATGATGCCTTTGATTATCTCAGTAACATGAAATTTATGAGATTCACGAAAAGTATGGAATGTTAAGCGTCATACATATATATATATTAATACAAAAAATCCTTTATCTCTGTCAACAACAGTTTAAGTTACAAATGCCATGAAGTATAGTGTTTTTATGTTTCGTAATAAAAACTAACTTTGATAACTCTAAATACTAATTTTCTCTTAGTCAATTGAACAATACGATAAACATCCATCGATGTACGACCAGATACCCAACGAAATGAGAATAAACAATCGGCATCATTTAAAACAGCAAATCTCCATTTTGGATCGGTTTCTGGACAAATTACAACATTTTTCTCCGTATAAACAATTGTGTTGTATAATTCATGATGTGTATTGCCTGATGACCAGGTAAATGTATCCTTTAAAAAAAACACACATGCACACCATACGTGAGTGCCAATCGAACAAATTCAAATAAATCAATCGACAAAAGGAAGTTCTATGAGATGAGTAATGTTACGTGATAGTTTGGTAAGAAAGTTCAACAAAATGATAAGCAATTACCAATATTGGATGACAGCAGGTAAATATCACAAATAGAAACGTTGAGTGGCAGATTGAAACTCAATGGTCTAAAGATATAGTCTAGGCGTAAGACCTAAAGCTCCTGGGATGTATCTTGTATGAAGCTAAGAATGAACACTGATGAGGAGGTTCATACTAAGTCGCAACAAGTTTGAGATGTTCATGATTGTTATAGAGTCCACTATCCTTCTCAAAATGCTTTTTTATGACCATGCCCATATAGGTATTTTTAGGGAAATCCTATTCACTGTCTTCTCACACCAGGGATATTGTTTATAAAATTGACAGGATGAAAATCGAATATCACAAGAGGCTTAAACCGGGTTCGTGGGTGAAGCGGGTCCATCTACGCAAGTTTGAAAACCTTCATTCTAAACTGATGGTGCACATAGCCTTTTTTATCCGGAAGAGGATAAAGGACTGCATCTTTTAAATTCGCTCCTCTGCCTTGTGGATTAGGCCACTAGGTTAAAGGCTCGGAGAGTGACACACTAAAAGACCTACTGCTTTGGTTTGGGCACTCGCGCAGCATACCAATCCATACAGTTATCCATTAATTTGTGTGGCGCATAGATATTTTGGTGACCCATTATTGTATGTGTTTAAATAAATATTGTAATATTACCAGGTACTTATTCGTAATATGTCACAGAATCAGCTTTATAGATAGAATATAAGCTAGTACTTCTAATAAAGATATTGTACGAACCGCAAACTATATTTGTCAAAAGTTTCATGTTGTGAGTATAATAATGAAATCTTACAGTTTAATTTATTCAAATATGAACGCGATAATATTAACAATCATAAAACATTGAACAAACACAAAACAAAACAAAAAGATAAATAAATCCAAAAGATTAATAAACACATCAAACTACTAACTTGATACAATTTCAATGCAATACGAATACTAGGCGTAACAACAGTTTGAAGAAGATCAAGATCTACTAGAACCCAATCATCTTTTGGCACTAAATGAATATCTCCAGAGAATACTTGATGTACACCATGTAAAAATTGATCCAAACTAAAAAGAAAAAGTGTAATTAGTAATAAAGATTGATAAAAAAAAAATGATTAGATAGTATTTATTTTATTTTATTTTATTTTAAATTTAAAATACTGTTTTTTTTTTTTTTCATCCTTTTTTGTAGTAAGAAAATACAATGCTGTTAACATGTAGTATAATCTTTTTGATAAACTGATAAATAAATAATCTATTACACTACTTACATTGGCTTTGATGATTGATGACCACCCATACATCGTCTACCAAGTAAACTTAAAGCTAAACATAACGATACAACAGGTGAATCAGCACCATATGGTATAGACTGAAAGAAAAAAATAAATAAATAAAATAGAACATTGAAAAGTTTATCTACTCACTAAAAATTATTCAATGTTCAATGACAATGACAACGCGAAATTCAATCTAAGAGAAACAATTAGTGGTTGTTATGCATTGAGAAGTTTACCTTAGAAATATTATATTATACAAGTGATCTGTTTGTGATATATTTAATATAAATAGATTAGGTAAAGAAATAAGGCTAATGATAACAAAAATTCACTTCAATCAAGTTAAATATTACAAAAAATAAACGATACAAATGATAATTGAAATAAAATTAGATTGATAATAATATCACAATAATGGAGTACATATTGGAAGGAGAATATCAACTCTGACAAAAGGATTATGCCCGTAAATAAACTGTGACATTTTGAATTCATTGATCAAGTTACATATCAGTTTGTTCATTAATTACTTGATAAAAGATGAATCTACTACATACCCCCTATGAATTGGTATAAATCAATTATAACAGTTAAACATATAACGAACGATATGGGATATAGTAACATTTTAACTATTACATATAATTGAGCACAGTGATAATACAGAAATCTGACAGTTTATCAGTAAGCTTGTTGCAGTCTACATGTCATTGTCTAGATCGGAAGGACAGTCGTATAAATACCAGTGATTTGTGAACATATTAAGTTGGTTCGTTAATTAGAGTTTTTCAGTATTACATTTTTCTCATTTCCTTAGTTAGTTCAGTGTACCACCACCAAATTGAAAGAGATTTTCACAAAGCACCTAATTAAATAATAATCATTCAAACAAAATCTCATTCTATGAATAACATCCACATTAACATTGTGAAAAAAAAAACTGTTACAGTAACCATAAATAACTTAGTCTTACTGAATTTATGCTTTGTTTCTTCAAACAATATTCTATCCAATCGGAATAAATTTGTAAAAAACGTTGTTTAGTAATGCCATTAACATCTTCATCAAAATCATCATCAATTACTTTGAAAAATACTGGATCCAAATCAAAGTAATCCGGTGATAGAAATCGATTAGCATCTAAACATGGTGTTAACTGTGCTAATCGATTCGATAAATTCGGTAGCTTACAAACAAAATAAATGATACACTGGGAAAAAAAATAAAAGATAGATGAAAGAGGTGGTATAGATTAAAACTAATCGATTTTGTAACATTATTGATAATAATCAATCATGTGAAAATTATAATCTAAAGATAATCAAAAAGGTAATATATATATCTCTATATCATTTTTACTTACTCGTTTGAGATATGGTAACTAGCCTAAATGATCGCAGCAGGTGATGATGATACAGTTGACATAAACAAAATGACAGACCCCGTAATCAACCAAGATGTAACTTCATTTTTTAACACAGAATATCTATCTTATTGATGAAAAACTATGGCTTAAATTATTAAGGAATATATATATATATATATTTAGTTGACCAATAAAATGCTTTCCTAGGGTTGGAGAACTTAGTCATGCTAGTGAACAAGGAGCTTATTTGTTACTATCAGAACCGATAACCGCGGCTAATTACAGGTGATCTGAAGGATTTGTATCAAATGATACGTTAATTATGATTAAGTAAAAGGTGAAGGATAAGTATCGACTTCACGATTTTTCTAAATACTTTCCGACTGATAAATACTGACAGCAATCAAAATAGTGGTTTCTGTGACGAGATTAATGTTTCACTACTCAAAATCGTAATTTCAATAAATTACTAACACTAATGAGTTGTTAATATCTTTACTTACTGATCAATCCCAGGTAAAATTTATTACTAAACGAGTTTGATGTCAATTATCAGGCAAAAAATAACCGTAATGTATTATTTTGTCATTTTGGTGAAATGAAATCGATATATATATATAAAATAATCAGATCAACAGCATTGATTTGAGAATTTAAAGTCAAACAGTAGGTTGTCGAAATATAAAACAATACACAAAGCAATCAATCAATCAACAGTAACGTAGAACTTCAAAAGTTTAGTTCAAGTTGCCGTACCACATTAACACAGAGGTGCAATCGTCAAATCAAATCCCATAATAGTAGAGGTAGTAAAAGTATTAGAAGTAATCGTAAATTTTAGGGTTCGAAGATCTTATTCAAGAAGTAGAATCTAGTGAAATAAACTTAAAAAGAAAAAGATAAAGGTGACGAGGAACTCTGAAGTTTGAGAAAACACAAAGAATGAATACACATGCGCCATTGCAAACGGTTTTGAGCTATGTCATTCAGGGTCGCTAACCATCGTTTACTATCATCTCGCGGGGCCCAAGCAGGTATTCAACACTTACCGATATGACTCAGTCCATGTTTTGGTCTGGCTGCCCCTAGCTTTCTTCAAACCTATTCCTACATATCAATAGACTATCACCTTTGCTAAAATGTATATTATGATAATAAAAAAATTACTATAGAATCATTACTTACATGAACAAATCGACTGACTAATACTTTTCGTAGGTCTGTCAATTGAAAAGTTAACCCAGCACTATGATCAGTAACTTCATAACCTTCAACTGTGTAAGATGCATAAGCGAATTGCCAAGTCATACAACGTAAACGAACAGCAGTGTTAAAACTTAACATTCCACGAATTGATTGAGAATGACAACAACAGAATCGTTTACTTTTATGAGGATCTGAACGTAACGCTTCTGATTCACTAGCATGACACAAAGTACCTGGAAAGTTAACAAAAATACTGATAATAATACTTGAACAAGATTTGCATTGACAGAAAAAAAACAGATAATTCAATAAATCAATATATTATATTTTGGATAGCAGTGAAATTTAAGTAAATCTTTTATCTAGTTTAAGATTATGAAATTCATACTGAAACCTTAAACTAGTATCATTCACTTAAAAGATCAAAGGACTACTTACTATAAAGAGCACAATTAATTTCGAAGAAATTTAGGTATTTATTTAAGCAGCACTTATTAGCAATTGAGAGAAATTGAGCCGATTTAATAGCAGACTAATATATATCAGTTCAAAAAAACAATGGTTCACATAAATTCTTTTTAAAGATCACTGAGTACGATTCATGGAATATTAGATTGCTTTAAGTGAGTTAAACATTAATTAACTCTCCGTTAACTCCAATTCTTTATCTTATGTTAACTAAACAGTAATCTTAGTTAAAATTTAAATATACATGTTCAATAATTATTCAGATTTGATTATCAAGAAATAATCTTTAATTAAATAGTCGATTTATGTAAGCCTAGTTTAGTTTTACACAAGATCATTTGTAAGATGAATAGTTTACAAAAGTAAGAAGATAAAAATTTCAAAATTTCATATATGTCTTATTCATACGTAACAAACAATAAGAAATCATAATCTAGCGACAGATAAACTTTCTTTCTTAGTTCCTACTACTTAAAAACATGAAATAAGTAGTGCAGAATTGATTAACAGACATCGCTGAAATTTAATTTATAACTGAGTTTATTTAATAAAAAAAATTGATTGTACACAGTATTGACTAGTTAGGAAACTTATCCAATTGAACATAAATCACTTGAATGAAAATCACCCTAAATTAATTTTTGTATTTGAAGACTGATCTCTTCCAAACATTGATATATCTAGAGATTGCAAATAACATAGAACTTTTGCAGTAAATTTTTTTAAGTCTAGAGTTTTTTTTTTTTGATTTCAATGACTGCTTCTTCCTATTGCTGTTCGTAATCTTGCTATCCAGATGCGATTGGTGAAAAATGTGGATTAAAATACATTTGCGTTAAATGTTACAATGACTACAACTAACTTTCACATATTTTACGTGTCTGGAACTAACAGTTTTTGATACTGAGAAATCACAGTTTGTTTCTCAATCTTAACTGTAAGAGATATAAATTGTAAGAAAGATGTATTTGGTAGACAAAAGAAGACTGATTTAGGCAAATAATACACGAACGCATATATATATATATATATATATATATATATATATATATATATATAACAATCATAGGAATAAGGATAAACAATTTGTCACACAAACTGATAAGAAACCAGTATCTTTAAACAAGGGAAATAAAATGAAAAATTTTCTTTGTCGGGAAATGTGAAGAGATAAATAAGAAATTTAAATTTACAAATTAATAACAAAAAAACAGTTAATATGAATATTAATTTTCTTGAGGATTTAACATTGCCAAAACATTTTTGTGTAAAAAACTATCAATAAACTGTAAAGTGTAGTTTATTACTCATTTCTGTTCATAATAAAATAATTTTCTATAGATGCTATGCACCATTTAGCTTGGTGTAGTTACCAAATAGTTCACTGTTTATTTTTTTTTCAACTACAAAATATGACAGCATATTGGCAAACAAGATTTTCTATTGTTAATTATACCAAAACTACAACGGAAACGGGAAAAATATAAGCACTAACAATAAGAGATGGCTAAGATATATCATGAATATTGGCTCCAGTTAAAAATTAAAAAAAAAACCACTGCAAAGTAACTTAGTAACCTGAATGTTAAGGGAGTGGTGAGTGAGCGCTGACAAACAACCTCATACTTGAATGAAATAGTCGTTCAGTAGTACTGTTTGATCAAAGTCAATCTATGGTGTAAGACTAACAAAAAAAAATAAGCCATTATCTATCAATCGAAAGAAGATATTTTCATAACTATGTTCTTGAAAATATACAATTATTTTTTAAAAAATTATGCAACTTTCAATAGCTTTCACAAAAAAAACAATTACCTATAAATTCTAGACCACGTAGCTGATAAGTGACAAAACCATTGCCTACTTCAATGATATGAATTAACAAGTTTAAATCATTCGTAGTTAAAATGAATACATCACCATGTTGAATAGCTAATCCACCAATACGGCCTAGTTGTAAGTCACCAGCTAAAATTTGTTGTAATTTCCTTGTTAAATGTTCATAAAATATACCATCCAGATTACCGGATACCTGATGTTTAGAAATTCCTTTTAATTGAGCTGCTATAGGCATGTTGGTTGTTTCTATTCGTTGTGTCCTTCATAAAAAAAGAACATTTAAACAGAAGATATATATATATATATATATATATATATATATATATATATATAAAGTATATTTTACTCTAAACATGAATTGAATTTAAAACAGGACGACATGTACATGCTGGCCACTATCCAACTTTACTGTAAACATCTTTTTTTTATAAAGGATGAAAGATTTCTAGTAAGACTGAGAATAAAAATCTATTCTGTGTAATCTGTATTTTCTAAATCTAAATTTCATTACAGACTTAAAAATTTTCAAACAATCTATCTATTAATTTTCACTGAATCGAATTGTTATTGCTAATCGGACTTTATTGATTTGATTGTTATATGACCAAATTATTCTTGTTGACTTTAAAGAGTGATTGAACTTGGATATTTTATAGCTTTAGAGTATAATGAAAAGAAATCTGAAGACATCTCTTCTACTCTAATAATGTTGTAAGTTCTAACAATCTAATACAATCATAATATTATATTGGGGACTTGAAATACCATTATTATTACTAACAACGATCATTTAGTATAAAAGCTTTAGTACAAAGCTTTCTTCTTAACTACTTTAAATGATATATTACAAATACAATCAGTGAATAATATGTACAGAGAAATGTCAAAACACAATCAAACTACGAAATTCTTAGCTTTACAATGGAACTAAAGCATGAATATATTCAAATAAAATAAAATAACTTATCTAATTAACTCTTCTTAGTTTTTTTTTTCTCATTAAATTGAAAAGAGAGACAGAAAACCGAAAAAAACGAAGAAGAAGAAGAAGCGTAGGAAAAAAAACAAAACAGAATTCTACCATAGAAACTACCACTTACAGCATAAAAATAATGAAATAAAATTAGAAAATTAAGAAAATTGGATACGTGAATGACATCACTTAAAGAGAAGAGAATAAGCAGGATTCTTCTTAAACAGAATATATATATACATATATATATGCATAGGATTATTAATAATTTTCGTGCGGTTACTATGGTGTCGTAGGAAGTCTATGCATATTTATTAATTATTAAAAATAAACTTTCAAATTATCATACAAAACGAAAAAATGAAGACTTTTCTACACTACCTACATAATATTATCACTTTAAAAGTTATATACAAATAAGATAAGTTTTAACTATATAATTTACTAATGAAATGAAATAAATATCTTGTTATGTTACTAAGACTAGGCAAAAGTAGTATTCATGTATTACTTATCAAAAAAAATTATAACTATAAACATTGAGAAGATCATTGGTTAATGGTGTTTGTTTGTATGAAATATTTCCTCAAGCTGTTCTAAAATATTTTTCATCCTTTTTTAATCGTAATTATGAATGGTTGTCTAATTATTTTGAGTTTGTAGAATTACAGTTTATCGTCAAATAAAGAAAAAATTATTAATTACTGAGATTTATTTATATTTTAAATTATCAAGTCATATACTTATGACTAATTGTAAACTGCCATAAATCAAAGTGCTTTTCTTATTTTTACAGTTATTTTCTTTCTTTTTAGTGATGCGTTGTCTAACGACCATGTGATAAATATATTTATCGAGTTTATGAATTTATTGTTAAATAATGATGCTTCATTGTCGAAACAATCACATTTGTTTGTTATACACGTTTTGTATGAATATGGGAAGTAGTTATTTTTTTTTCTCAATTACTTCTATCATCATTCAACACTATGGGAGAATATATGATAAAATATTTGTAGATGTAGCAGGTATGAATGAATATCAGTTAAATATTCAATATCCATATATATTGAGAGAGATGTTGACTTGTATCAACCACTAATATTTCAAGGTCATTAACATTTACATTGGTAAAACAGCTCGATTATATACGTCGCAGAATGAATAATTATTATTATTATTATTATATAACCATAAAATCAATTCTTTGATTTGTAAAATAAACGTTTAAAAATCTAAATTAGTAGTTTATATTATATAATTGATCTGACCCATATTGTACAAAGTGTAGACAAATTTCTGGTTTTGAATATTTCAAAAAATAATACAAAATTCAAAATGCATTAGATGTAAAAAAAAATAAATATATGCATTATATTATGTAAAATAATAAGTTACCCTGACTAATGCATTCAACTTGCAATCAGGTCATTGGGTTGAATGTCACACCATGTAGTACGATTCAAGCAACTAAATTGTAGTTTTTACATAAACTATGTGCATTAAAGCTCAGTACTAAAATGTGTATTTGATATATGAATCTGATTAAAACACAGAGTAATATAATTAAAAACCTTATACATTTTCTAAATACTATAAAAGGTGTACTCTATAGTCCATCTATTAAGCATTTCAAACAATATTCTAAACTATATAAATGCATATATAACATACCGATGATTAGTTTCCCAAAAACTAATCGGTCTCACATAGGATGTAATAAAAATTGCACTAGCCATAAAAGGTTCCAATGGTGCGGATAAAATTGTAGAAAAAATGCAATTAGCAAACAAGAATACTGAATCTATAAATTAGTTGTATTGAAGTATTGAAAAATGATTCAAGTTAAGGTTAATAGAGAAGGGATATATATATATATATATATATATATATACATCAGAAAATTAAAATTCAGTTTTGTACAGCATACAAAAAACCCTAATTCACTTAAAAAACCGAATCAGATTGTTTTGACACTTTAGAAGAAAGAAATAGAAATCACATGGTTTGAAATGGATTATATTAATGTAGAAGGATTTATTCTCGATCTACTTTAAATAATAATGAAATTACTTTATTAGTCTAATGCCCGAATCGGATTCAATCTATTTGAACAAGCTTGCATTTTTTTATTTGTAAGAGTTTCTGTTTTCCTGTTGTTAAATTTAAAGACCATCACTGATTAGTGCATGCAAAACTAAAATCAAAATCAATTTAACTAATGAATCCTACTGCAAAACACTATCCAACTTTTAATACGTTTCCTTCTAATAAGAATTCATCGACTATATATAATTTTTCTGCTTAAATTTTCACATCACATTAATTTAATGATATCAGAATGTGATTTAAACCGGTTTGAAATAAGGTATACATGTCAAGTAATGTCAAATACAAGGTGGACCTTCGTACGTATGTACATCAGTTCAAGTTACTGTAACACATTTGCACTGAGAGATTAGTCATTTCAAATCCCATAGTAATAGAGATTGTGTTAGTATTAGCGGTAGTCGAAAAAAATGAGGGATTGAAAATATCATTCGACAAAACATATCTCAAAGAAACAAAGTTAAAATGAGAAGAAAACTGTCATCAGGAATTCAGGAACTTAGGATTTGACAGAATACAATACGTACACACATCTGTGTCATTGCAAAGGATTTTGAACCATGCCATACAAAGTCTCTAACCATCGGATACTATGGTCTCACGGACTCCAACCAGGTAGTCTACACTTATTAACATGGCTTAGTCAAGTTTTCAGTGACTTCATGGACTTGTGACATGTTTTGGTTTGGTCATCCCTAGCCTACGAGCCTACTCCCACATCAGAGAACGTCGCTCATCGAGGCAGTCGGTGATTGGAAATACGTAACACATATCCTGACCACCTCAACTAATGAAGTTTCAGTACTTCATCTATTGATCTACCACCATCCAATATCAAACATTTCATGATTGGTTGACTTAAACTAGATACATTCATAATCACCTTAAATTCAAAGAAAGATGTAGCCTTGAAAAAGTTTAATAGTACATATGCCATTCTAAACTTAATTACTGAGTTTTAATCTCAAAAGCTGTTCTATTTGAATTTAGGAAAAAAATATCATTTTTTCTTACACTAAATATAAGTGAAATTTTATGAAAGTATTGAATAAAAAATATTACAAATTTTTCAAATTTTTTTTATTTGGTTTTGAGAAAAAGGATACGAGGAATTGAACCAAGTTGTACAACTGCATGTGCCACAGAACCCCAAATTATATTGAATGGAGCTAAATACACATAGATAAAATGCAATTTCCGAAATAATTCAATAAACTAAAGAAAACAAAATAAAAAGGAAATCAATATTTGATGAATTCATTATATTATTACAACAATGTTTTATTATGACACATATAAATTTTATTGATCTATCATCTGTATAACTTTTCTTAAACTGCTTATAACTTTTAATAGCAATACTAAGGCGATTCGCACAAGATTCATATATGCCGACAAAAGACTGATCAATTGCAATGCTGGACATTAACAATGGAAAGATTTAAACATACGTTTACAAACCAATTGAAAGTGATCAATGTTGTACAAGCTAATAGCTAAATATTTCACATGTTTAAATTACTTATTGTTTTCAAAATATTCCCTATATTTAGCCAAACAAAGACTTTAACCTGAAATCAACTAGCACTAACTCTAAACAATCCACTCAGCAGTCTATAACATTATAAAGTCAATTTAAACAAATCATGTATCTTAAGGTCTTTCGTCATTACTTTTCTGTTTAGAAAATCATTAAAAAATTCCTTTGGTTAATATTTCAAAGAACCAAAACCAACACAAACATATTAAAATAATTTTATACACTGATTTGTTGATGAAATAGTAAATCTCAGTCGATTGAAGTGAAAGGCACTTGAATTGTGTATTTTCAACTATCACCCATCGTTGACAGCTAATGGTTGTTGATATGGAAATAGGTTAGAAGCTAGGAGTGACTAAACTAAGACATGGAATTATTTCCATGAAATCATTTATTGTCAATCTCGGCAGATGCAGACTACGTGGTTAAGGCCTGAGCAATAACTACGACCAGTGATTAGAGAATTTTTGTGCCATAACTCACAATCGATTAGAATGCTGAAAATGTATGCCCAAAGTCTACATTGATTATGACTGACTGAATTAAAAAATGTCGGAAAATTTATAAAAAAAAAAAATGAAATCATACAGTTCTTAAGTTGGACTAATCACTTTTGAAGGGATTGGGCAATATCAGTGAATTAATTTACTGAATGGATTGTTTGATAGTTTATTGACTTATAACATTTAATTAATCTCAGAACAAAATAAAACAATGTTGACTGTGATTTTATATAGTTTTAATTGTTAATATTAGAAATTGATACATACAGTCATATAGAAACAAAAAAAAACGAACATTCAACTAACCTTGTTAACAAGAAGTGATACAAAGAAATAATTAATCGGGAATGCTTCTTTAAAATCATAGAAATCAAATGAGAATAATAAATTTGTGAAAAACAGGCTTAGATAAGTTTGTTTTGCACAACAAAAACCATTTCGTAACATTTTCATACTACATACAATAATTATGAATGTGGAAAGTCTGAAAGAAAGAATAAAACAGAATTAGACATTTACAAAAAAAACTCATTGAATTTAAAATGCAAGTTAGGAGTTTAACACTTATTTATATGCTTAGCTCAGGGCCGCACTTTATAATATATGCTAAGGATTGAGTGATTTATAAGTTTATAATTGAGTGAGACTGCTTTGTTGTAGACAGAACAATTAATTGATGATATGTCGGATGGTTTAAAAGTAGTTGGTAGGAAACCTCAGACTTGGGTTTCATGTTAATCGGTACCCATCACTAAGGTAATAAGGCAATATTGAGAAAGCATATGCTCTCTATGGAATTTGAACCCAAATCAGCTAACTACATAATCTGAAACGTTAGCATTAAGATATTCAAACACAACATATCTAGTAAAACTAATGAAAAAAGTGAGACATTTACTAAAATTATTATGTAAAAAAAAATATTGTACGCTAATTTTCTTCGGAAAGACGTATATACAGGTTAGAAATTCATGATACTTACAACGGTCCAAACTTCACTACTATGGAAGTAAAAGATTGACTGACTGTACACATTACAATAGCAGGTAAGAACAAGTTTCTTTCTGACCAACATAACCAAAAATAAGCAACTTCCAAACGACTAATTCCTTGAAGATTAGGTTTAACAACAGGTTCCACAAGTAGTAACCATGGATATGGCTAAGGGAAAGATAATAAAAACAGTATATGAAATAAATAAAACTTTTTTATAAAACAGTTTAAAAATATCTCAAAACGTGATAATTCTCAACTTTGAATCAGAGGATTTAAGACTTTAATTAAAAACACCTCTATTAGGTCATTTAAAACAACTTGTGACCTAGGATGAATATGAAACACAGGTTGTCATACTTTAAGATTGGTACAATAAAATACTAATGTATGCTTGTTCTGAAGTAATAATTTCCATTTATCAATTAAGGGATTCGAAAGACAGCACTTTGTTAGAGTTTTCGCAAAACATAATTATATCATGCATGTACTTTATATCAATGAAACGGTCTATTTTCAAGAGATGAATTCCTGGAAAATCAGAGACACTAAACATCATCTCAAGAAGTATTGATAAATTTTCTTCAAATACTACACATTTCATAAATTCATAAAAGTATCTAGGTTAATTTATAGAACAGATGGATTAAGTCTAGCGGTGGAACTGATATACGTAGATACGAAGTTTTACGTCGTTGCTGATCATCAACTGATGTCATTTCATGAATATCCAATTAACAAGAAGTACAGCACAATTTGCCAAATAGAATAGATTTGTAATATTTAGTCGAGTAAAATTGAAGCCCTTAGAATATACGATTTCATTCCAAACACATTAAGAATCTAAAACTGCTCTATTACGATGTATTTACTGACAATTGAAATGAAAATCAATTTGTGTATATATGAGTACAGGTAAAGAATTCAGTTTTATGATAGATCAGCTAGTTTAGTGAACTTCAGTTAACATACATTGTATTAGCTTAAATCAGTTAGTTGATCGATCAGATAAAATTACAAAGTGAACAATGCTTCAAACTTCTTATGCTGAAAACATATTAGTAAATAAGTTATCAAAAAAAAAATAATTTATACATATATATTACTCACTTTTCTAAAATTAGGCCAAATATAATGCAATAGAAAACCTAATAGAATACTGATCCAATTGAAAATGTAACAACAATAATAAGAAGGAACAGTAGAAGTAGTGGTAATGATTAAATTACTTGTTAAATGAATAAGAAATGCTAAAATAAACCATAGAATACATGAAATTAAATCATTTTCAAAACGTGTCAATAATGAAATTCTAATTAAATTTGGTAAAGGATCACCATTTTGTAATTGTGCTTGTGTTGTTTGTGTATCATCATTGGTTTGATAATAATGTCGAGTGTTCATTCTTGAATCATTTTTATTTAGTGTTGTTAAAGTATGATAAGATGTTGATAGATTCTGACTGATTACAAGTGATGGTAATGTATTCGTAGGATTATTTTTATTATTATCATTGGTATTGCTGTCATTATTATTACTATGATTATTATTATCATTATTATTATTATTATTTTTACAATTAATTTTTTCAGAATTATTGCTAATTTGCAATTTCATCCAATTATCTGATACACCATTTGTTGAAGATGTTTCAATTTGAGATAAATTATATTTAATAGCTGGTGTAGATGTTGACTGAGTTAAACTAACTCGACTGATTAATCGACATGGTAAACTATGACTTTGAACTTGAAACAAAAAAAAGAAAGCAAAGAAAGAAACAAATTACTAGTTATTTCTGGTTATAATAAAAACAGGATGATTTTATTTGTACTGTTATTGTTTATTGCGTTCACCATTGTGTTATCTTCGTATGATAATTACGTACAATCAGTCACTGTCTATTTCAATAAGCGATATTTACGATAGTATAGGAGTAAGTTGGAGGTGACCAAGAGCTACGTAGTGAATTCGTCCTTATCTCCTAAATCATTTCTACGACGACGGTTTTACTTATTTCATTTCCCTGTGCTGTTAAGCTGTAGCAGATTGAACTGGTGTACATATTTTCAATGTTCTAAGTTTCTTATGAGTAGTTAATTATTGTCTGAAGATGGTAGGTATTTGAAGAAGATTTACGAAATATGATGTATTCATACCAGTCTCTAGAGTTTTAGATGATTCGTAGTAGTTAGAGCTAGGAGAAGACAGTTTAGACACACCAGTAACCGACTTTTAAAATCTGTCTACAGTAACTGATACAACGATTGAGTAAATATTTCGCAGTTATATATTTCTGAAAAAAAAAACTTTGAGGTACATTCGCAGACATTGAACTGGCTAACAGGTTAGTCAGAAAATGGAATTTATTATTATTATTTATTATTTAGACTAACCTGCTGGCACTGTATTTTCAACATCCACATTTTCTTTTGTATGTTTTAGACGTGTAAGAAGAAATTCTTCAACAGCTTCATTAGTTTTCTGAAATGATGCATTTGTAGATTTCATACGAAGATTAGGGAATAGTAGAGGCAATCGTCTCCACCAATTAGATTTATCGATAGAAGTTAGTTGAGATTTGCGTTTTCTGTCTTTTTCCTTTTTTGATCGAAGAATCAAATTTGGCTTTGTAGTTAGTTTATGCCAAGTATTGGAGAAAAACATTCGAATACGGCACCAACAGTAAATACGATGCTCAGAAGGAAAAAGTGTCCCATAAAGCATTGTATTCGATGGTAAACGACTTAATAAAAAGCATAATGCAATTTGTACACCCCAAAATACTGAAAACAATATACAATGAGGATCGCATTTCTACAAAAAAAAAATCAAAGGGTAATAATAATGAAGCAATGAAACATTCATTTAAATTAACTTTATAACAATTAAAAAAAGCCTTAACACTTCATAGGCGAACATAATTCCCAGCAGAGAAATCAAGAGATGTAAAATATGATAAATTACAATAACAATTCATAAGTTAGAATTCTTTTTTCTTTGAAACCGTAATTAATCTGAATTATTCCTAGTTATTCAAATATAGCTTAGGAATGACTATTGAAAATATGCATTCAATCAATTTATCGAAAATCGACCTAATATTGTATATTATCTTATAAACTTAAAGTTAACAGATGATAGCAAACACAATACAACGTATTTCGGATGAGCTACTTTCAGTGGAATGCTATATCTCGATAGAACTAGTTAACATTAATGCTTAAGTTGACAGTATGTATTGTATGAGCCTTAGTAAGATGGAGCTAATATAAAAATATTTGATTAGTTATTGATAAAGTAGACGATTTACTCTGTGTTGCCTTTGAGAGTTAAACAATAGAAGTAGGTTACAAGTATAAAATCATACATAGATTGAAATAACTATTCTTTTATGATGAAATCAATGAACACTTAGCTGTCTACTACAATATATTGTTTTAATGACTGTCAAGACAAACAATAGAGTTAAGAATAGTCAAACACAAATCATAGAGAATGTTCAAGGGCCTATTGAATGTGATATACAAAAGGGTTTAAGAATATTTAGGTTACAATTCATTCATGTGACAAATACAGTTAGAAAAGTACAAATTTTATGTGTTTATCTGTAATAGTCTGATCTGAACAAAAGCACAGTATTATGTAAAAGTTTTGCTATAAATAAAACGATGAATAAAACACTACTAACATTTTTGAAAAAAAAAAGTTAAAGTTAGGCACACTATTCAAAATGAAGTAATCCATATTTGATTTGTTAAATAATTAATAAATTATTAAGTGACAAGTAAATAAATTAACCTAGAATGTGTCATATGATTTTTTTTCTAATAAACAATGGATAAAAAATGATAAAATTTTTCTTTTCCAAACAACAAGCTCTTTTTATATGATAACATAAAAAAGAAAGAAGCATTCTGTTAGAAATAAACAATTATTCATTACAATTTGTTTATGGACGAAATAAAATTCATTTGATTAAGGTTTCGATTTGGACATTTTTGGCTTGAAATCATAATTTAGACACAAAATTTTACGAGTGTGCTATCGATAATTTCGCTGTTTATAAATTAGGCCAAATCGAAACATCCAAACTTATTAGTTGAGAAAGTCAAATGACTTTGAACACTAAATAACTATCATGTAATTTATGAATCGATTAGCTTTCACCAAATGCTTATTTTTGAATAGTATCAGTGTCTACATCTAAAAGATTATTATTCATTGCTTACTTGTACAGTATAATAACATGGAACAAATGTCAATCCAATCACTATGGATGTTCGAAAAATAGATAATATCACTGAAAAAAGTCCAGTTGTACCTAAAATCATGAATAAAATGAATTATGAAATTGATTAGGTTAAATTTAATGATTATTTCTGATTCGGTAATAAAAAAAGAAGGCAACAAACATTTTTAATAACTGAATTATGTAATAGCTATCTTTGAAAATCTACACAGATGCCAAACAAAATTTAATGTTTATTTAGTAAACTATCAGATTTATCAGATTAAAAACCAATTGTAATTATTAAACTTCATGTTGTGAAAATTGCACATGGTCATTGACTGATTGAAATGTATGTAAATGGACGATTATGATACAAATCTATAAACTTGTTAGTCTCCTAATAAAGAGAAACATGTGACATTTATATGTGTTATAAAAGAGATGGTTTGGTGGTTTAAACATTCAGTTATTTATTCATTAATGAAATAACAAGTTGAAATATAGTGTTTTTTTTACTAGACATGAGTTTAAGCAAAATAATGCCACATCAGGTAACCCCCTAGGTAAAAACAATGGTAATGAAAGAATTATTACCTATTGATTAACTTATACCAATATTATTCAATAGATTATTTTAAGGTAAATTGACTATTCATTTCATAAGTAAACAAAAACATTTCGCATATTTATTAAGATTACCTACCTACATTATATATACATTGATGCTACTGAGATATTTACAAGAGAATGGAAGGATAACAATGGAAAAAAAAGACACGTCAACGTGATGCCATCAACTATCAATCACTTATTTATTATCGTTCACATTCACTTTTGCACTTCCTATAGTTACACAATGGTGTCCAATGAATTTTTTTAGAAAGATAAAGCTTAATGATTAGTAATTAGCATCTTTTCACAAAGTTGTATCTATTGATAAAAATTTAACTAGTTGTATATTAGCAAAGTTGTATTGCTGTAGTAAGCGGATTACATTAAATTATTAGTTACGGCAGAATAATTTGATACATACAGTTATACTATATATTATTTGGTGAAGACATAGCTACATCTGTCAGTCAGTCAGATGCAACGTAGAACTTTGTACGTAAGTACATCAGTTCATCTCGCCATACCACATCAGCACAGAGATATAATTGTCAATTCAAATCCAATATTAGAAGAGGTAGTAAAGGTATTAGAAGTAATCGGAGAGGTTAGGATTGGAGGATATTATTCAAGAAGTATGATTCAGTGAGAAAGGTTTAGAGAGTCGAAACTAGAGGTGTTGAAGAATCCAGAAGATTAGAATTTGAAAAAACAAAAAGAATAAATGCACCGCCGCCATCGCGAACGATTTTGAACCATGTCATTCAAGGTCTCTAACCATCGATTATTATCATCTCGCGGACCCCAACCAGGTAGTCGACAACTACCGACATGGCTAAGTCCACTCGTCAATGACTTCATGAATTTCTGCCATGTTTTGGTCTGGCCGACCCTAACTATCTTCCAACCTATTCCTACACTACAAAACATAGCTCGACGAGGCAGTCGGTGGTTAGGCATACGCAACACATGTCACAACCACCTCAACTGATGACGTTTCACCACTTCATCTATTGATCTGCCATTCTTGCCTAGCACCCGATTCCTAATAACAGCGTTGCTCACTCGGGTGTCCCAGGATATACGAACAATGCTTCGAAGACACCTATGATCGAAAACCAGTAACCTACGAATATCTTCTACTCTCACTGGCCATGTTTCACAGCCATAAAGTAAGACGGAGCGAACTACTGCGCAGTACACTCGTCCTTTAGTCAGCAAACGGATATCTCGCCTGCGCCATAAGTGACGCAGGTTGGCAAAAGCCAGTCGAGCCTTCTGTATCCGTGCTGAGATTTCGTCAGTCACCAGGCCATCAGCACTGATGAGACTCCCCAGATAAGTGGAGCGGTCTACACGTTCGACTACTTCACTTCCTATCACTAGTTCAGGTGCCGATGAAACCCAATCTTGAAGCAACATCTTGCATTTCAACATATATATGTATATCCTCACTGTAGCTGTTATCCCGATTCGGTAATCGGGCTTGTAATTTGTGATGAATCAATCCAACTATATTAGCCAAAACGCTTGGTTCTTTGAGTACTATCATATTGGACTAGTTAGTTGATGAATGGTTAAACAAAAAGTAGAAACTTGAAATCTGAGAGCGAATTCGTACTTCAGAATGTTATAGAATGTGATAGCCGTAAAAAGTCCTCAGACAACCAATATATATATATATATATATGCATATATGTTATACTTACCGCTTGCTCCAAAAATATGAATATCTAATTGTTCTAAAGCATAAATAAGTACAGTGTTTATTTGAGGCATTAGTCCAAGACAGAACAATATAGGAAATATCAATATAACATATATACACGAATATTCAATGACGTAAGATATAGATTTTATAGATAATTTAATACCATAGAGTTGAATAATAGATGATGATGATGATGAAGAATAAGAAGAAGTAGAAGAAGTAGAAGATTCAATATTTATTTTAGAAGATTGAGATAAATGATAAAAATTAGGCATACGCCAATTTATTTTCTCTGTAGTTAATTTATTTGTTGTTTCACTAATATCTAATGGTAACATTTGTTCATTTGATTGATAGATTGTTGTAATTGATTCAAAACATAATTCACCTGTATGTTCTATGCTTGACTTTTCACCTGGAAATAGTACAGATTCTTGTGATTGATATAAATAATTAGCTAATAGATAAATAGAAGCAAAGAAACAGAAGAAAAATGAACGAGTGAATACAATCAAACGATTAAATCCATGTTTTGGTGAAGCTGGATCAGGTTGAACACTTTTTATAAGTGAATAATGACATCCGGCAATAGTAAAACATGCTAATGGTCCATAATCTTGAAAACTTGCAGTACGTAACATATAATAGCCAATAATACCGACTAAAGCAGCCAAAATAGAGCATAATATAATTTCTGTAATGGTAAAACTTCTATAATGTAGAAAGAAAATAGAAAGAAAAATATCACAGGTTTATTTTTAAAAGATTTATCTTGAACAGTAAATTATGTTCAATTCAAGATTATTTGAATAAAGTATTGAAAAAAAAAAACAGAAAACACACTAACTACCTATAGACTGGTGTCACTGTACATTTGTCTTTATCATTTGAACTTTTACAGTACGACATATTTTAAATTACAATACTTATGGAAATCTACAGAGATCACATTACAGGGTGTAGTTAAGATGATAAAAGTTCCATCATATCCAACTTTGTTGAAACGAGTTATAATTCAGCTTGAATGAATTAATTCTTGTCAGTTATCTATTGTATTAGTTATATTCTCTATTGTTTCTTCTTTAAACATGAGAAACAAATAGGCAAGAGAATTACAAACCAGTGCTAAATGTTAAGATAGTAGGCTTGTACAGATCTTACACTGGTGTAACTATACGTCAACATACACAATTGACTAATGCGCATATTTTCTCTACAGTTATATTTGATTGAATAATATAACAGATTCAAAATCTCATGATAACACTTATTTAGGTTTTAGTTTCACGTTACTACTAATTATTATCCATCGCTTTCATTATTAAATGTAAGTGCATTGTATGCGCTTAATGAGTCATTGGTTCTCTTTATTGCCTTATTCTTCTCTTCTCTTATTCAAGAACCTAGTCGAGCATGCATTGCATAGGAATCACTTAAACATTTCAAAAACACCAACGAATAAATTAATTTTACGAAAGATTACACATTTACATAGCGTATTTCATAAGATGTATTCGCTCTAAATACTTTACTATTCGTTTGTTTTTCTCATTAATTTGGACATACAATTCGATAGAATAAAATGTTATATGTTCATATGTCTGTGTTTTATTACGTATAATGGGATTTGTAAATAGATTAACATCACTTATAGAAGTGTTCAAGGCTAAACTCCGAATAATTGGTAATTTTTCAAATGCATTAAGTTCGATTTCATGTGAGACCTAAGTTGTTAAGTTCAAAAACGACATTGTGAATGTTAATTCTTACGTGTTATCTAACTGGCATTAGTTTATTTAGAAGTTTCAAAGAAATTGATAAAAAAAGATTTCATTCTTTGAAAAACACTTCCTAACAATTCCGATTTCAAATACATAGATGAGTGTCCACATTGAAATTCAATTGATAGGATTCGATTAGCATTAAAGAATTATCCCATTATCCAATGATTTATTAATTATAAAAAATATTCTGATCCCATAGATAAAGTCGTGAATTTTTAAGTTGGTTTATGCCAATGTTTATGCCAATCGCACAGTTACCTTGAGATTGTATACCATGTTACCGAGTATTAAATAGAACGGAACTTAAACTCCGACTATCTTTCAGCTACTTAACATTTTCAGATAAATACAAGATTATGTGTAGATTTTTGGCATAAGCTCATGAAATACGATGATTGTACACAGGAACAAATATTTTTATGCACAATACATTTCAGTCAGTCAGTCAGTTGCAATGTAGAACTTCGTACGTAAGTACATCAGTTCATCTCGCCATACTACATCAGCACAGAGATGTAATTGTCAATTCAAATCCAATAGTAGAAGAGGTAGTAAAGGTATTAGAAGTAATCGGAGAGGTTAGGATTAGAAGATACTGTTCAAGAAGTATGATTCAGTGAGAAAGGTTTAGAGAGTCGAAACTAGAGGTGTTGAAGAATCCAGAAGATTAGCATTTGAGAGAACACAAAGAATAAATGCACCGGCGCCATTGCGAACGATTTTGAGCCATGTCATTCAAGGTCTCTAACCATCGATTATTATCATCTCACCGACCCCAACCAGGTAGTCGACAATTACCGACATGGCTAAGTCCACTCGTCAATGACTTCATGGATTTCTGCCATGTTTTGGTTTGGCCGCCCCTAACTTTCTTACAACCTTATCCTACACAACAAAACAAAGTTCGTCGAGGCAGTCGGTGGTTAGGCATACACAACACATCTCCCAACCACCTCAACTGATGAAGTTTCACCACTTCATCTATTGATCTGCCATTCTTACCTAGCACCCGTTTCCTAATAACAGCGTTGCTCACTCGAGTGTCCCAGGATATACGAACAATGCTTCGAAGACACCTATGATCGAAAACCAGTAACCTACGAATATCTTCTACTCTCACTGGCCATGTTTCACAGCCATAAAGTAAGACGGAGCGAGCTACTGCACAGTACACTCGTCCTTTAATCACCAAACGGATATCTCGCCTACGCCATAAGTGACGCAGGTTGGCAAAAGCCAATCGAGCATTCTGTATCCGAGCTCGATACATACATTTTGCTAAATTTGTTAATTAATTTGCTATCAACATTAAAAGTGCAATCAAATTCTGGTGACATTTAAACAAGCTTTTTTTTACAATAAAACCAAACTAATCCCTTTCTATTCAATTTAAATAAATTTTTTCTAACCAAGTAATTATCATGATCTAATATTATCTTAATTTCTTTCAACCATTTTACACAAGAAAGTATCCTTTTTCTATAGGAAAATCATTTAAAAACAGGGGAAAAAATTTTTTTTAATTAAAATTAATACATAGTAAACTAAATGTAGACTTTTTTTTGACAAAACCAAAAAAATAATAATAATAATAATAATAATCATAATCATAATCATAATGATTTCTTACTTATCAAAAATATAACCTAATTCTAAACGATTCAATTGAAAACGTAGAGTAAATGGAAAACATGGTGATAATGAGATTGTATGCATAGGAGCAATTGGTAATGGACGTTGTTGTTGTTGTTGTTGCTGCTGCTGTTGTTGTTGTTGTTGTTGTAATTTCAACGGTTTAAAACCTTTACGAAAGAACCAAAGCAATGAATTCGATGATGAATTATTACCATCATCACTATCTGAACCAGATTCATTGGATTGATTAACTTGAACATCTGGAATATCGGTAGAACAAAGAATATACACATATATATATATATATATATATATATATATATATATATATACGTCTATTTTAAATGAATGGGTCTGGGTATTGATTTGTTTATTTCGGTAAAAAACCTGGGGGGCAAGGATCAACAACATACTGGTAAAACTTTTTGTTTTTGAAAAGAAAAAAGTTGAATGCAATCATATGAATATTGTTTTTGATTGCATTGCGATCAACATTGATTGATTGTGTTAAGGCCGACAGTGACAGGCAGACAGACAGAGAGATACAACGCAGAACTTTGTACGTAAGTACATCAGTTCAGGCTGCCATACTACATCAGCAAAGAGACGCAACTGTCAGTTCAAATCCAACAGTGAGATTTTCATTAAACTAGATTAGCAAATTAGTATTATTACTTTTGAATAGATTCAGTGAAAAATTATAATCTGTAGATTTTTTTTGCATATTTGATATAATGAATTAGGAAACTAAGATAAGTTATGAATTTCAGATTAAATTTTAATTTAGTATGGGGTTTCAGGGGACCAGGATTAACGTTTCGTGTGCTCAAACCGTTTGCTTCAGTGGCGCGAGATGATAAACGATCGAAGGAAGAGTTGGTTGAGGAGATAAGAGATTTATTAGGAGGTGTAGAAAAGATTTCATTGTGCTTTTATAGGTATGATGGCGGATAACTTTCCGGCTGCCCACACCGCAGAAGTGTTCTATTATGGGATTTGAATTGACAGTTACATCTCTGCGTTAATATCGTATGGCAACATGAACTGATGTACGCACGTACGTACGTACAAAGTTTTACGTTGCTATTGACTGATTGATTAAAATTTTAATTTGAAGTCATAATATATGTACATTTGATCGACTGAATTTCAAAAACAATCTATACCATTATTACTACTAATTTCATGATTAAGTAACATGTGATTATAGACTGTAGATTTAGTTCAAAATGAAATTAGTTAGTATTCTAATTAATGACGAAATACTTCTACAATAAATGTAAACTTTCAACGGGCTTTCTCAGCTGATTATCAATTCGTAATGGAAATTATCTTCCGGAAAAATTTTTCAGAAACATAGATAAAACAACAACTTAATTACATGGAACAAAAAACCGGCATTCTTCTGGCTTTTTTCTAGTACACTAGCAACTTTAGATTAGAAATCTTGTAAGAATGATTTATTTGATCGAAATCTATGAACATTAAAACCATGATTGAATTCATTCAATTATATAATGATTAATATATTCAATGGTGGTGACATAACAAATTTATCAAACGGAACAGTTCTCACTAAAACAAAGAAAAATCTCTATGAATATTTAACATTATCTTTCAATAATTCGGTAAAAAGATAATAATAATAATAATAATAACAGTATTAAAGCATTATCTAAAATTACCTCGAGTATGAATTTCATCATCAACCTCATGATTTTCATTACTCGATGGACAGTAGGCTTTAATACTGATTTCTTGTAAATCCCATGAACTCGTATCATAAGTACCGATTGAATTGTCTTGATAAATATCATTACTAGTATGTACAGATAAAGAAGAGATGGAAATGATTTTATTATCAGTTATGATTATTATTATTATTAATAAACTTGTTTAACAATAAAGTTTAATGAATATTCATTAAATACTTTGTCTGTTGAGGACATACAAAAAAAAACAAATTATACAATTCACTTGTGATTTTCACAGGGAATTAATTGACTAGTAAATAAATATTTCATAATATAAATTCGCTTTTAAAAAAAAAGGCTATTATTGACTAAGTTTGACTGTTTTATTTTTGATGTATATATTGAACAGTTGACAATTTTTTTTATTATGAATTAATTCTTTCTCGAAATAAATTGAACTAGTCAACTTCAATAGATGAATTGAATCAATTGGAAAATTCAATATTAATTGCTTATTATGTATGCTTTCAGACTATACTTCTCAAGAAAAGCTAACACTACTATAACTGACATTAATTTCAATGACATTTAAATTGAACTTTGAACATGCAATAATAACAAGTTGAAAAAAAGAAAAGAAAACAAAACATCCACAAACACTCATCATAATTATCATAAAATCAATTTTATCAATCAATATATAACAGCGCTGTCGTTTTCTGTTACTTTTATTGATTTGCTACAGATAGATTTTAAATATGCTCTTGTTTGTAGTCATGAGCTAGTTAGTGGTTTATTGATTAAACCAATGAATGAACTTTGAATAAAAAATAGAATGTACGTTTGAACATTACATCCTTCACCTACTTTGTGCTTTGAACAAACAAGTCATAGTTATCTCTACAGTTCATAAAAAAAACAGGTTTCACAGAAAAAGAAGTTCAATGAAATTTACACGATAAAAATTACTAAATTAACCACCGGTTATATTTCATTGATACATTAAAGGTGGCTGCTAGTTAATTTTTAAAAAAAAACTCTCTTTGATTTTTATTCTTATTAATCTCTGATGTTCATATTACATGTTATCATGATTATTGTTGTGATTTTTAATTTACAATCGATTGATTGAAGTTGATTTCGACTTAATTCTTCGTTTTTAAAAATAATTTTTTTGAAATAAATGTGTGCAATAAAAATTGTTGACTTTTTTCTTATCAGTTACAATGTATATATGATTGCGTAAACACATTCCATTCGAGGTTCTTTTTTTTATTTCTGTCAGAAAATCTTCAACTGTTTTTCCTCTAACGTAACATTCGTTTGGATTTCTTTTTAGCTTTTGTTAACAATAAGCAAAAAAAAAATTAGTCCACAGACTAATTGTTAATGCAGCATGAGAGTAAAAATGAAAATTCGATGAATGTTTGTTTTTTAAAATTTAATCGACGAATAACCAACAAACACACACACACACACAGACAGACAGATAGACAGACAGACAGATTACCAATAATTATATTACCGATTTTTTATGTCATAACTAGTAGATCCGAATCGAGTTGACAAATGGTCAATTCGAGTATCAATAGAAGAAGTAGTAGTAGTCCCAGTGGGTTCATTTGTTACTGTAACATTGTCAGTGGCGGCTTCTGTGACAGCATATAAAATATCCCATTCGGCACTATATACATAATATGTGTTTTGAAACAAAGAAAAAAAAATCGAAATAAACAAGAAAGGAATAAATTTACTTTTTATTTAGAATTTAATAAATAAACTATTATTTTTAGATGTGAAAAACAGGTGACGATAGTGAAATGGTTAACTAAACAATCTGACTACATTTTTTAAAGAATTTTAAATCATGACCTAGTCTTCCATCTATTATAGAAAAAAAAAGGATAATATTGAAGAAACTGAGTAACAAGAGGTGATCGGATACTCCATCTGTATTCATTGATTGAGATGGAAATTGTAAATACTTGGTAGAACTAAATAACATGAATTCCGATAGAACAAGAACAACAATTGATGCGAAACAATATGAATTCATTTCTTATATCATAGGTTCTCATAATCGACCTAGAAACTTTTTGTATTGCAATATAATACTATATATATATATATATATATATATATATATATATATATATATTTTTATATATATATTGTGTGGTTGCGTACGGTCATTCAAAGATGCAGGCATAAACAGGGTAAAATCATTATGATAGGAAATTCAAAAATTGATCTGATAAATTTTGTTATTATTATTAAAGATCTGAAGAATTTACACAATTTTAATGAACTGAGTAAGTGGAAAACACGAATCAATGGATTACAACAAGTTTAAGCTTTTGTCTTTTGTTAATTAGCGACAGTGTGTGAATGATGTCAATCAGACATGTTGAACTGATGTTTAGTTTAGAGCTGTAACATTTTCTGATTTCAAATTCTTAAGAATATGCTTAGCGATATGAACACGTATGCTTTTGTTATTGTCCTATCAAAGTATGAAATTTTGCGAATCAATCAGAATATCATTATTATTATTACTATTATTAGTAGTAGTAGTAGTAGTTTCACAAAATCCAAATTATTTAATTATGTTTTAATTAAATTAACACTGAACTAAAAGCCAAAGAAAGGTTAAAATAAGTATTGAAAAAAATTGTATGAAAAGAGTGAAAATTAATTATTTTATTAACAAAAGACATCTTCATTTTTTGCTTCTTCATCAACACAGTACTATGTATTTTTATGTAATTAAATTCAGGAAAAAAAAACAGTTTCATTTACACCACTATATAAACAACTAATATAAACAAGGTTTGATTAGATTTCACTATTAACTACAAGTTTTTTCTTCACACTAACCAAAAACATCTCAGATTTTCTTGTTAATTTTCATTATTCATGATCAATAATCTTATATGTTCTGGTTGTAAAACATGATAATGAAGTGTTAATTACATTAAAATATTTTATATGTGTTCAGTGTTTGGTTCTTTTAATCATACAATAATAATATTTATTGAAAGCTGATTGAACAATAAAACTTCCAAATAATAACTACAGAAAGACGATTGAATTTAAATTAAAAGCATGAATTGTTAAGTACTGGAAAGAGAACTACACTGTTGTAACCTACGGACAAAATTAAATCTTTAGTAATGAGATAAAATTGTTGGGTAAATTATAAGAGAATACAAAGTAAGAAAATTTTTGATAGGGATTTTAAGTCATTGAAAAATGATTTTTAACTTAAACTGATATCAACTAGACAGATGTTGCAAGTAGAAGAATGTTGAACAGTCCAATATGCACTCAAGACTATATATATATATATATATATATATACAAAATCAAAACTATAGACTAGAAATAATTCAACAACTGATATGATTTCATGTTATTAAACAGTTAATTATTATTGTTAAATTAAAACATTTTTGGATCTCAATTTTAAATATCTACAAAATAATAAATAACACAACATTTTGTTAAATTACACAACCAACTTTGGACCTAGATTTCCAAAGAAGATATTCAACAGAATTCGGCGAATGATACAAGCAAAACAATGACACAAATTGTACACTACACACTGAAATGTTGTTGTAAATTACTAAACCATTATTCAAAACGGTCTGTTTCAACAATCAGAGAGGTTTATTTCAAAAGTAAGTCAGCAAACATGCATGAAATCTTCTAAAATGAATTAACATCAATAATTCATGTACAATGCCCAATGTTTATATTTCCTTAGGTTAGAAATTTTTAAATAATAACTTAATAACAATTATCTTTCTTAATTGTAAAAGACACTAGAATTGTCTTGATTGTATTTACAAATGAAAAATTAATAACTAAATTTTTTTTAAAAAAAAAAAGAAATTAATAATAAACGATCTAATTTTTCCCAGTTGTATTGTAAACAGTAAAATTAAACATGATTAGTTTACGGAGAATAAGATAAAAGAATACAATAGTTTACTGTTGATTTTTTTTGTGTGGATATAATCACTATGATCAAGACTTACTTACATTAACACCGTATGTAGCGATTTTAAAATTAGTAAAATATGTTCTTATCACTACTACTAGGTTATAATAATTAAAGGTCTACCTACCAGATGATAATTAATAATCAATGATTAATTGTATTTATTATTAGTAATTTTTTTTGTTCAATATATTTTTATATCTTTTATTTATTCAATTGTCTTTGATTGTGTTTTTTTACAATTATCATTTCGATTGACTTGTAGTTTTACATTGTTGTGAAATCTATTGAATTAGACCCATGTACATGTATGTGTACATATTTATATATGTATATATATGTATATATGTATATATGCATATATATATATATATATGTATATACATGCATATATGTATATATATGTACATATTTATTTATATAAAATATAAGCTGCTCTATGATGTTATGTTACTTAGTGATGCTATCAATCAAATCAAAGGTAAGTGATATACTAAAAAAATAGCAATAATCAAAAGAGGATTGAATATTATCTCGTATTTCATATCGAATAAAGCTGAATAATATATATATATATATATATAAATCACAGTGTGTAGTATTTAAAGTATTTTGATAATCATCCGGATTAATAAATTAGATTGATAAATTTATTTTTAGTCTACCGCATACAAAAACTAAGCGTTTTCACTTTGCATTTTTTTAATGCCTAATTTTAAATATAACACTGTTAAATATGCACACATCAATTTAAGAGATGAGAATATTAATGTACAGACATCTGTCATTAAAAAAAAAAAGAGTTTAAACATATAAAAACAAGAAGTTATTTTGTAGTTAATATCTTCAGAGAGAGAGAGAGAGAGTAAGAGAAATGGTCATCTAACATTGGACTAGAAGAAATCACTAGAGCGCAAACGTTACACTGCCACATTTCCTTTGTTATATCCGAGAGTAGAAGATATTCGTAGGTTACTGGTTTTCGATCATAGGTGTCTTCGAAGCATTGCTCGTATATCGTGGGACACCCAAGTGAGCAACGCTGTTATTAGGAATCGGGTACCAGGCAAGAATGGCAGACCAATAGATGAAGTGCTGAAACTTCATCAGTTGAGGTGGTTGGGACATGTGTTGTGTATGCCGAACCACCGACTGCCTCGAAGAGCTTTGTTTTGTAGTGTAGGGATAGGTTGGAAGAAAGTTAGGGGCGGCCAAACCAAAACATGGCAGAAATCCATGAAGTCATTGACGAGTGGACTTAGCCATGTCGGTAATTGTCGACTGCCTGGTTGGGGTCCGCGAGATGATAATAATCGATGGTTAGAGACCTTGAATGACATGGCTCAAAACCGATTGCAATGGCGCCGGTGCATTTATTCTTTGTGTTCTCTCAAATGCTAATCTTCTGGATTCTTCAACACCTCTAGTTTCGACTCTCTAAACTTTTCTCACTGAATCATACTTCTTCAACAGTATCTTCTAATCCTAACCTCTCCGATTACTTCTAATTCCCTTACTACCTCTTCTACTATTGGATTTGAATTGACAATTACATCTCTGTGCTGATGTGGTATGGCAACATGAACTGATGTACTTATGTACAAAGTTCTACGTTGTATCTGACTGACCTTTGTTATATCCACAGAATCCAATACTATGACAATTTAGAATAGAGTTAAAAAGAAATTCAATATTACAAACAAACGACTTATTTATTGATAACTATTTGTATGATTATAATGTTGATGTGTAAAAATTGAATTTAGTTGAATATTTTGTTGAATATATATACATATATGTATCCTGAGAGGATGACCAAATATTTGAAGTAATCATTCCAGCATGAAGATATGTTGTACCAATAGAAAATTAGTCAAAATTTCTAACTCACTATGAACAACATGATTAGACAAATTCTTACGAATAAACATTATACCTGTTTTGAACAAATTAAACAGCTATCTGAACTCAATAAGTTTAATGTTGGTAATTGGTAATTGATGTGATAATTACGAAATTTAAGTCTCAGTTTACATATCTGGCAATTCATTTATTTATCTCGACAGCCTAAACTATTTAGCCATAAAACTGTTATGTACTTGATTTTGAAAAAAAACAAACAAAACAATTATTTATAACAAAAGTCAATAAACAATAATAATGCAGACTTTTCTGAATCTTCAGTATTTCCATCACCACGCAATTGAAGTAAACATTGTTGACGAGTCAATCCAGTTTCAGCCAATGATTTAACACCCATTAGATGAGCAAGTAAATTGTCTACAAAAATTAAAAAGTATCAATATTAACAACCCATTGATGTTGTTTATCAATTAAAATTCATATTATATATCTATCTGTAGATTAATGCAGGCAGGCTATACTGACCCTTTAGACAAACAGCAGGATATCTCAATTGCATCATAAGTATTGTCAGTAAAATGCAACTAATCAATCATTAATACACAAGAGATCACAAAATTTCAAATAGAGATGAAGTTAAATTAATTTACGGCAATTAGACTATGCAATGACAAGGATCAATCCCCTAAAGTAGTTATTCATGCATTCCAAACATTCTAGCAATCTGAACCAATGTGTTCATTATGGAAGTTAAGTATATCGTTAGATAAGGTTATTTAAAATCCTCATAATAAAGCAATAAGATGTTCATTCATTACACTTTATGGAAATAATGCAATCTAAGTTAGCATAAGTATGCAAGATCAATGATATTTAAACGCTTACATCAGAAAAAATTGAGAGAATACTAAATTAGTGACATTAAAGTTAATAGATCTCATTTTGTAACGAAAATAAGGAAGAGTAATATTTTGCCAAAAAATGTTAACAATTATTGAATGACAAAAGAAACACTTACCAACAGCTTGATCGACTGAAACAGGATTCATCGAAACAGGTTTGGAAACACAGGGCGAACTCTAAAATAATTTCAAACCAATGATTAAATAACAACATGAAGAAGAAGAAGAAGAAGAAGAAACAACATGTTATAAATAGTTCGATGGACATAAACGTACCTGTAAATTATTGTCTTCATCAATTCTCTTTATTTCTTTTGTTACTTCCAGTTGTATGTGATCAGAAACAGAACTAGTTGCTTTTTCAGTCTTGAGTGATGTTGCACCTTTTGACCGACTATAAGAACGAGACGACATAGCAGGCCGACGACGGAAACCAGCTTGACGAGTTAAACGACTACGTTCTCTGAACATAATATAATATTGAGAATAAACAAGATAGTCTGAAACCATGAATTTTTATATAGAATTATAAAAAAAAATAGAATTAACTAACTCATTGTGCTGAGTATTTTGATCACAGTCAAACAAACATTTTAAGTGATTCAGTTAAACATAAGAATTTCATTAAAATCATGAATCAATCACTGGTTAGACCACGATAAGAAACCTAGAAGCACTGAACAGCTGTTTCGTCCTAGTAATGAGGCTAATGAACAGTACGCATCCATACAGTGTGTTCGTCAGTTACATGGAATTGATGAAAGGATACATACATACATGAGCACAGTGAAAACAAAACACACAAACTGGATTGTATGACTCATCTACTAAGTATTGGTTTATGCGCTCAGCTTGGTACAGGACCTAATGATAATATACATGTTGTACCTAAACCAACGTAGATGGAGTGATCTTTGAACTTGTGACCTATTTGGTCGAAAGTTGACAGCTTCAAACAATTACCTATTTATTTCTTCTTATCATATGAAAAAAAGTAATAATTCATCAGTAATATCATCAATTCAACGCTCGGTAAAATTGAATAACATATTCAAACTATTACAATATAAGAAATGATATGACGAAGGTACACTAGATAATGTTACTTTAGACTAAAATAAAATATTACTAAATAAATTTGACCACATTGAAACGATATGATCATTAATGAATTTGTTAACATCTAGTTTGATGACTATACAAAAGTGATTACATGTCTTCGACTAAAAAAGACTTTAAGTCATTTGTTCATACAAACATGAATCTCTTCAAGAAAAGCCTATTTTTCCCACCAGTCATTTGACTGATCACCAAGTAGAATAAGCAGAGAAGAGATTCATTTGATCATTGCATATGTGTAGTAAATTATCTAACCGAACAAATGTTAAATCGTCAATGTAATTCAGTTAATTTACACCAATCAAGATTGGTAAATAGAGTTTTACTACATGAGAAATTAATGTTTTCACACTAACTGTTTGAAATGAGAGAAGGGTGTGATTAGATTCAGATAACACAGCATAAACCAATTTAATTTATTGATTGTTAGTTTGAATTGTATGGAGAGTTGTATATATTTCAATAATAACGTCCCCTTGGATGAAGGGAACCTAAAATTGAAGAAGTAATCACAATAAATCTGATGCATTCAATGAACCTTCGAATTAAAACAGTTCTATCCATTGATTTACATTGACTATAGCATTGTAAAGTGTGGAAACGTAAACCGACGTATTTTTATACAATTAATTCTATGAGAAAACTAGCTTCATAGAGTTTTTTGGTTAACTATTTTCAAGTATATGAGACGAGAACTACATAGATATAGCTTTTAGTATTTGATCATGAGGATGGGAAATCATATACATTAATTAGGCCATATATATATATATATATATATATATATATATATATATATATATATTGGCTGTATAAATTTTAGTTTTTGCAATGAGAAATTACCCGGTCTCTGTAGTAAGCGATTTGTCAGATTCAATACTGTAATGATCATTACCAAGTTTATTTGAACTTGATGTATCCAGAAGACGAGTTGTTGGTGGTGGCAAGTTAACAGTTGAACTATCATCAGACAAATAGTTAGATAACGAAGTAATCTCTGTATCTTTTACTTGTTTTTTTACATAGTCATCTATTTGTTCATTTAGATCTAAAAAAGCAGATGAATAAAAGAATTAGAGGGTTAGATTTGGACAACTATTCGACTGCTCATATATAAATCATTTTGGAATTAGTTCAGACTATTTGCTTAAATCCTTACATTGTCACGTCAAACTAATAAATATTTACATTATCAAAAAATCCAAAACACGATATACTTATGTTGGAACCTAATACACATCATAACATACATATAGCAATAATCTAAAATCAAAAAACCACGACACTATCTACATGTTCCATAGGAATAAAAAATCCAATCATAAAGAAAAGTCAAGTAAACTTTCAAGTCAGTGAACGACAAAAATTAATTCAAATCCAACTTATCTGATCAACACAGAATGGATGAGACTAAAGTAAGTAATGGTGTCGAGTAGAAACATCGACAATGAGTATGATTAAAATCACGATAGATGAAAAGAATAACAGTACAGTCTTTATCACAGACAACAAATAGAATCCAAGAATCACTTGATAACTTTTTGTTTTTGCATGGAATTTCTCACCGATAGAAATCCACGGCCTTGCTAGTGATTAAATTGAAGAACTTGAGGCTTCACACCAAACACCTAACCGTTAAACTATTGAGTTGAAATCCTGTGTTTCATATTTTTAACTTCAATCGATTCCCAATATTACGCAACCACCAACCCTTGTCATTGGCTTAATTCGAAATTCAACGAATTAACAAGACAAAAAGAACATGGTGAAACTAAGTTATTTTATATTTTTAGTTTAAGGAATCAACAGTTTGCAGTTTTACAGTTTTAATACTCTAAAGTCAATATGAACTCGTCTTTCCTTTGTTTACCAAATGAAAAGTTATAAAAGAAGTAATTTGTAAAATTCAAACCTTTGAATTTATTATTATCGCGTCCAGTCACTTAGATGTCGGATAGTCAAAGACAAACAGCAAGAAAACATGGATTTGTGTTTTATTTTATCACAACAGTATAGTGAGAATTAAAAGCTGCAGTAATTCTTAAAGATAACGAATCCATACAAGTAAGTATAAGACGCTATCTAATTTTTGTTTTTCTCAGGTAAAATTCGATTGTATGAATATGTTGACCAAGAAAGCGATACTGAACAGATTGAGAAAAAACGTCTTGGACGCTTCGGATATCATTAATTATCTCAAAAAGTAATGCTTCACAACTGATGTAAATCAAATTATCACATAGACATAGAGAATAAGTCATAAATACGGCGCACATCCATTCACTTTTTCGGTAAACTGCACAAGCCCCAGTTACAGATCAACAAGATTAGCAGACACAGTAAAATTTGTCGTTTAACTAAATGATGAGACCAAGATATTCTACATTGATCGAACGGGAAGTGCACTAAGTTTATCATCTTTCTATCACTTTCCCTAAAACAGTTGTATATTGATTATGCTAATCGTGACTACAACACACCATTTTTTATTCAATAGATACAGTGTGTAGTGTTGGCTACTTGATCTTTTATCAAATCTCATTATGATTTCTTAACAACTGCATAAAACTTACCATGATTCTGTATACTGGGTTGAACTTCATCAAGAAAATTGGAAGAGCTGATAGGCCATTTCAAAGTGTGATGTTGTGCATCAACAGATATATCAATAGGATCATCTTTGATCCGTTGACCATCTAAAGTGATCATCTCAACAGCGTCTGGTCCGGTAGAATCAAGTAAATTGCTTACAGAAGATTGAATAGTGTTGTATTCTGAAGTACAAAACTGGGGTGAAGAACTTTTGACTACAGCTGATTGTTGTCGTTGTAAACAGACAGCCGCACCAGGACGTTGAGTGACTTGTCGAAGGTAAGGTAAGAATGAATTCACCGCCTGAAACAAAGAGTAAGAAAATGAACAGGCGTGAATCTATTAATTGTTCGAGAAACAAAAGATTTCATTCAATAATTTACATGAAAGTATCAAACTCAGATGGTAAATCAAAAATTGTCATTAGAAATTAACAACATCAACATTCGACAGCTTCCCGACCGAAGCTGCTACCTTGACGTGGTGGTCGGGCTTGCCTATCGTGATGACCCAACCGAGCTATACTGGCTGGAACACATGTTCCTGCAGGTCCTACCATGCCAGGCAGGTCGATTGGAGAACGATGAGACTAAAAGCAGCTACCCAAGGTCTGATGGCGAAGGAAGGAAGGGTTAGAAAAGGTCGTCCCTAAAAATGTCACACCTCCCTACCTCACGGATTTCCGTCTCCTTGGGTAAGGGTGCCCACTAAGGGCCTTTAAGAACGGAGCTAATCCTCTAAATACCTCTCATAAAAAGGCCGTGCGTGACCGGCCTGAAGCAGTTGTCCCTTGGACTCTGCGGTCACGCACCAACACTAATCCATCTTCCTTTTCAGGTTCGTCAAGAAACAACCTTCCACGGTGTGGGCAGCCGGGAAGTGATAACCGCCCTCATACCCGCAACAGCACACGAGACAAAATTGTTCAAAATCAAATCCTTCCTACATTCCCTAATACCTATCTTATCTCCACGACTAACTCTTCTCACATTCATTTATTACAGTGCACACCTAATGCAAACGATGCGAGTTTGCGAAACGTCGTTCCTGGTCTCCTTAAACCCCGTTCCAAACTACATGTTGGAGCATTCAATGTACGGACATTGTGTCAAATAGGGCAACAGGCATCATTAGCTAGGACTTTAGAATCTCGTTCCATCGATGTGTGCTGCGTCTCGGAAACGCGCATACAGGATCCCAGTAGCATCACTCATTTGACCTCACCATGTCAAGATAAAGAAGCAGCTCGATTTACCCTTCGTGTATCCGGTAGCCCTGATGCTGCTTCCAGGGGCCTCGCCGGTGTAGGTATAGCATTGAGTCGTAGGGCAGAACAATCTCTCCTTGACTGGATCCCTGTAGATAGTCGCTTGTGCGCCGTCCGACTCAACGGGACAGTAAGGACTCGGAAAGATAGGGACACTCGCCGTTGCCTCTTCGTCATATCAGCCTACGCTCCCACTGACTGCAGCCCAGATGATGTAAAAGATGAGTTTTACAGAAAGCTTTCGGACCTCCTCCAAAAAGCTAGGCGCTCTGATATAGTTATAATGGCTGGTGACTTCAATGCACAAGTAGGTAGACTAAGTGAAAATGAAAGACACCTAGGTGGATGTTACGGTCTCGCGGCTCAAAGAACAGACAATGGCGACCGTCTGTTGCAACTGTGCTCAGATAACCAACTATTTCTAGCAAACACTAATTTTAAGCATAAGGAAAAACACCTTTTGACCTGGCGACCCCCGAAGTCGTCTCAACGTTGGACACAACTAGATCATATCGCCATCAGCCACCGATGGAGGGGTTCGATAGAAGACTGTCGCTCGTTCTGGGGCACATGTTTGGATTCAGATCATGCCCTAGTGCGAGCACGTATTTGTTTGAGGCTTGCTGGACGTAGGAAAGACACCGTAAGGAAGCCTCTTAGGGCTTTACTTGATGATAATCAAGCTAAGAAAATATTTCAGGAGGAACTAGAAAAACAGTTAGGCGGCCATGCAAGTGATTCCCATCCTGAAGCAGGTTGGAATCATATCAAGAAGGCTGTGGAAACAGCAATGGTATCTGCTGCAAGGTAAACCACAATGCTGGATGAAGCAGTGGATTTCAGCCGCATCCACCGAACTGATGGATGCTCGAAAACGCATCCCACCTGACTCAACATGATGAAGAGCGTAGTCAGCTTAGTCACAGACTCATAAAAAGCCTACGTAACGACCGTGAACAGTGGTGGGTGGCGTAAGCAAAAGCGATGGAAAAGGCAGCGGCGATAGGCAACAGTAGACAACTTTTCCGCCTTATCAAACAAACCGGTATTAGGAACCCGAATGTAAGTGAGACTATCTCGGAAAAGGATGGTCTTATTATCCATTCTCAATCTAGGAGGCTGGACCGATGGGCAGAACACTTTAGGGATCAGTTCAACTGGCCTTCAGCCACTCTTCGGTTGCCCACGATCTCCAGTCATCCTGAATGGCAAATCGATTTAAGTCCTCCCAGTTTACATGAAGTTGAGAAAGCTATAGGAAATCTAAGGAGAGGTAGAGCGGCAGGTCCCGATAGGCTTACCCCTGAGATGTTTAAGGATGGTGGTCCAGTTTTAACGGTTAGACTGACCGAGATCCTAGGTAGAATCTGGGAACTGGACGTAATCCCATCTGACTGGTCTCAGTCGCTCATTGTCCCAATCTACAAGAAAGGACAGAAGTCCTCTTGTGACAATCACAGGGGAATAAGTTTAACTAATATAGTTTCTAAATTGTTAGCCTCGATTATACTTAGACGTCTAACTAGAGCTCGCGAAGAGCAGACTCGAGACAACCAGGCTGGTTTTCGACCTGGACGTGGTTGTATAGACCACATCTTCACACTACGACAGGTCCTGGAACACAGACACACATTTAGACGTCCGACAATAGTCGTGTTCCTGGACCTTAAGGCGGCATTCGACTCAGTGGATCGTGAGGTTCTGTGGCAGTGTCTGTCATTGAAAGGTGTACCAAAGAAGTACATTAACCTTATACAAGCACTCTACTCGAACACCAGTGGTCGGGTGAGAGCATATGGCGAACTGTCATCTGAATTCTCTACATCAAGTGGTGTCCGTCAGGGCTGTCCACTCTCTCCATTCTTGTTCAACTTTGTCGTAGACATCCTCTTAGAGTTAACATTAAGCTCGTCAGATTTTTCAGGGGTTGACCTTCTACCAGGAAAGTCGCTTAATGATCTAGAATATGCCGATGACATAGTTCTATTCGGTGAAGATGCTGACAAAATGCAGAGTCTTCTGACTACCAGAAGCAACAATGCGAGCATGTTCGGGATGCGGTTTTCCCCCTCGAAATGCAAAATGTTGCTTCAAGACTGGGTCGCATCGGCACCTGAACTAGTGGTAGGGAGTGAAGTAGTCGAGCGTGTAGATCACTTCACTTATCTGGGGAGTCTCATCAGTGCTGACGGTCTGGTGACTGACGAAATCTCAGCTCGGATACAGAAAGCTCGATTGGCTTTTGCCAACCTGCGTCACTTATGGCGTAGGCGTGATATCCGTTCGCTAACCAAAGGGCGGGTGTACTGCGCAGCAGTTCGTTCCGTTCTCTTATATGGCTGTGAAACATGGCCGTTAAGAGTAGAAGATGTTCGTAGGTTACTAGTATTCGATCATAGATGTTTAAGAAGCATTGCTCGTATATCGTGGGACAGCCGAGTAAGCAATGCTGTCGTTAGGAAACGAGTACTAGGTAAGGATGGCAGATCAATCGATGAAGTATTGAAACTTCATCAGTTGAGGTGGTTGGGACATGTGTTACGTATGCCTAACCACCGACTGCCTCGACGAGCTATGTTTTGTGGTGTAGGAGTGGGTTGGAAGAAAGCTAGGGGCGGCCAGACCAAAACATGGCAGAAATCCACGAAGTCACTGACAAGTGGACTGTGTCATGTTGGTAGATGTAGACTACCTGGTTGGGGTCCGCGAGACGAAAGTCATCAATGGTTAGAGACCTTGAACGACATGGCTCAAAATCGTTTGCAATGGCGCAGGTGCATCCACTCTTTGAGCTCTCTCAAATCCTAATGTTCTGGATTGGCCAGCACCTCTACCTTTGTCTTTCTAACCTTATCTCACTGAATTATACTTCTTGAATAATATCTTAAACCCTAGTCTTCTTTATTATAACATTAATACCTCTACCATCTTTATCACCATGGGATTTAGTTTGACATTTGCGTCTCTGTGCTAATAATGTGGTATGGCAACATGAACTTATGTACATACGTACGAAGTTCTACGTTGCAACTGACTGACTGACTGACTTCGACAGCTTAGACAAACAATTAAAAACATCAGTTTCAAAAAACTCTAGTACCAAAGTTATTTGTGAATACTGTCAGGCGACCGAAACCGATGGCATGATTAGAGTATTTTGAAATACATAAAAGATGTGAGACAAGACAGTCAATAACCTGGTTCGATTGCGAACACATGGATGAATACTATGTGGACATATTTGGTAAATAAACTGTCTTATTCAAATATCAAATGTTCAGTATGTAAGGTCTCTAAGTACTGATTTAAATTTTACAATATAATAAAATTTACGACACAATTGACATAACAAAAGTGTACAAAAAGATGTCATACTCTAAAATTGGAGACAATTACCAACAGATGCTCCAGAAACACTAAAAATCCAGTTATGAAAGCATTTGAGATCCTGATACAACTATGCAACTGGCAAGCTTTTTGAAGCCCTACACTCGATAACTAAAATGCACCTGAAAATAGAAATACATGACACATAGTTCCGATTAGTGGACTTCAGATTCTTGATATATAGTATTGATGTCCCATCAGTAACTTGGTATTCATCATCAAAAACCGAGAAGCTAGAGTAGGCTAATCAACTGATAGATGCATTAACCATAAGTTTGACATTTAGCACTCCGAAAAAGACTAAGGTTTAAACATGAGTAATAAATGTTTGACCTGAATAACTTCGAAATTTGTAAAAGAATCATAAGTGTGTATAATATTGATTAGACGATTAAAAGTGAGAATGAAAGTGCTAAAAAGCCCAGTGAAACAGACCGAAGTGAAAGTTTACTCACATGAACTTTTACACGATTTCTCACTAAATGGGTAGAATACTTCATCACACAGAAACTCAAACTAAGCATACCATACCAGAGATCTCGTTGTTAATACAGTAATCACATAATAAATGCAAAAACTCACTGCAAAATCATAACGTAGACTATGAGAACGCCATCCTCTAGGAAGTCGGCGAGGACGAAGATTCTTGTTGGACAAAGGAATTATGTCAGCTTGTTGATGGCGATGTGTAGCAGATCTGTTAAAATTAGAACTCCCAAAACACTGACGCCAGAAGGAAATCGTCTCGGATAGTGAAAGGTCGGTGGAATATGGAATGCTGTTTCGGCCGGATGCAGTTAAGTACGTAATAGTTCTCTTATTCAGACCTCTATCTATTAACAACGCACGCCTTTGGAGCTGAAATTATGTACGATAAGAACAATTCAGAAAATTAAAATAATCTGTGTTTACTTTCGTAGTACTTACTATTAATTCAGAACAAGCGTTAATATATATATATATATATATATTTAGAGAGAGAAAGAGAGGCTGCATGTTTTTAGCATTATTTGGAACTTCTACTGCTACCTAATATTCTTCACTGATCTAGAGAAAATGATTATACTGTTGCAGTCCTGAAGATAATTAGTATAAAGATAAAGTGGAACTTTTGATGCTATAATTAAAGGGATAATAAGCAGGCATTTGAAATGCCACAAACAACTGCACGTGTTAATTTATCTTTCGTCAGAAGGAGACAAATATATATTAGGATCTATGCACGTAAACGAGAGCAAAAAAGCTCTTTAATACTGCATCTATTATTAGGATTTGAAAAAAAATATCCACTTACCTGTGACCGACTTCTGACGTAAGATAAAGGTGCTGTTTGACGAACCTTAGGATTCAAATCTAAAGTCTCAAGATCCTTTATTGAGGGAGTGAATCGGGTAACGGGTATGGGAGGAAGTTGACTAACATCCCGCTTCAGTTGATTTAGAATACGCTTACAATGTTCAATTTCTGTGCGGACTGAATTCGATCTGACGAGAGAATGACCAGATAAGGAAGTACCATAGCGAGGGAATTTATCAACTGACTCCTCTCCGATAATTGGACCGGCGATCTCTGGAATAAAACGATCGAACTGCAGGCCAGAGACCCAGTCCGTTTGATCATAGAATTTGCACAACCGCTTGATTTCAAACGCATTTTTGACTTTTAAGAGAAAAAGTTGGGTAAAGATCGTAAGCTTTATTTTAAGAAAGAATTCATAATCAAAAACCAGATGAAAAAAACCCAAATTACGAAGAGCTAAAAGTTCATTTCGCAGATCATAATAAAAATGTATCGTATACGACCTTATCAATCCATACATCTTATTACTTAACAAATAAACATTGAAAAAACAACCAATGTATATGAGCTTGTTTTCTGTTAGTTCAGGCACTCATCTTTCCATATAGAAAATATCTAGTTGAAACTGAACTTCCCCTGTAGAACCTTCGGGGCTAATGCTGGTCCTATGCCCGGATTAAGGAGGAGGGTTGGACATAGGGTTGGTGACCGCATCCCACCAAAAATTAACTTGCCAAAAAAAACGCTAACAAGAAAAAATAAATCAAAACATTTTAACTCTGCTCTGGGAGTTGGAAGAAGAATTATGACGTCGCGTGATGAAAGCCAAGTTCCCTCGGAAGTCACGAGGCCGATGCCTCTTCTGACAACCAGAGCAACCATTCTTTTAGGTACATGGAACGTTCGTACATTGTGGGAGACTGGAAGACTATTTCAAGTTGCTGCAGAAATGAAAAGATACAACCTCGAGGTGCTTGGAACAAGCGAAACACATTGGACACAGATAGGACAAATGAGACTAGCTTCAGGGGAACTGCTGTTATACTCTGGTCATGAAGAGGAAAATGCTTCACATACACAAGGAGTTGCACTGATGCTGTCCAAACATGCACAAAAGGCACTGACAGGATGGGAATCTCATGGACCCTGCATCATCAAAGCAACCTTCAAAACAAAGAAAGAGGACATTACAATGAACGTCATCCAATGCTATGCACCTACCAACAACTTCAATGAAGACGATAAAGATCCATTCTACGAAAGGCTGCAGTCAATCGTTGAAAGATGCTCATCAAAGGATTTGACGATTCTAATGGGAGACCTAAACTCCAATGTTTGCATAGACAACACTGGAAATGAATACATCATGGGACGACATGGACTGGGAGAAAGGAACGAAAACGGTGAGAGATTTACAAACCTATGCGCCTTCAACAAACTGTTCATCGGTGACACAATATTCCCACACAAGCGCATACACAAAGCTACATGGATTTCACCGGATCACACTACTCACAACCAAATCGATAACGGGGCATACAGCATCACAGAAGTTTAATACAGCCTTTCTTCGGGATTATGTAAAGCTCAACGAATTCAAGATAGCCCTCACCAATAGGTTCCAGGCCTTTCAGGATCTACTCAATGGAGAGGAAGCGAAATTGGAGTACAATTAGAAAAGGAACAAGGAGTCAATCACTTCAACATGTCACGAAGTTCTGTGTCACACGAAGTACAATCACAAGGAATGGATCTCTGTTGATACTCTTGCAAAAATTGAAGAAAGGAGGAACAAGAAGCCAGCAATCAATGTCAGCCGAACAAGAGCAGAGAAAGTTACCGCACAAGCTGCATACACAGAAGCAATCAGGGAAGTGAAGAAGAGAATCAGAGCTGACAAACGAAAATATGTGGAAGAAAGGCTGCAAGAGAAGGAAACATGAGACAATTGTACGATACAACAAAGAAGCTCGCTGGAAACCATCGTAATCTAGAACGACCAGTGAAAAGCAAGGAAGGCAAAGTAATCAGCAACACTGGTGGGTAGAGCACTTTAAGGAACTCTTGAATCGACCAGCTCCACTGAACACACCCAACATCGAAGCAGCATAAACTGAAATCCCAATCGATGTTGGTCCACCAACAATTGGAGAGATCAGCATGGTTATCCGACAAATCAAGAGTGGCAAAGCAGCAGGATCAGACAACATTACAGCAGAAGCAATGACAGCAGACGTGGAAGCAACTGCAAAAATATTTCACATAGACTGGGAAGAAGGATACCTCATCAAAAATCCAAAGAAAGGCGATCTCAGAAAGTGTGAGAACTACAGAGGCATCACTCTTCTCTCAATACCAGACAAAGTCTTCAACAGGGTATCGTTAAACAGAATGAAGAACTTCGTAGACGCCCAAATTCGAGATCAACAGGCTGGATTTCGTAAGGATCGATCGTGTACCGACCAAATCGCAACATTGCGGATCATTGTGGAACAATCAATTGTGCCCGAGAAGACAGTCAACATCATACGGAGTTCTTATGATGGATTAGACTGAAAAATCGTGCACGAAGAACAGGTGACAGACTCGTTCGAGGTGAAGACCGGTGTGAGGCAAGGTTGCTTACCTGTACACTTTCTCTTTCCCGTGGTGATCGACCGGATTATGAAGACGTCAAGGTCTGGAAGGAAGCATGGTATCCAGTGGACAGCTAGGATGCAGCTGGACAATCTAGACTTCGCAGATGACCTGGCTCTTCTATCGCACACGCAACAACAAATGCAAGAGAAGACGACCAGTGTAGCAGCAGCAGTAGGTCTCAACATACATAAGGGGAAAAGTAAGATCCTTCGATACAACACTACATGCACCAACCAAATCACTCTTCATGGAGATGCCTTGGAGTACGTTACCACATTTACATATCTTGTCAGCATCATCGACAACCAAGGTGGATCTGATGCAGATGTGTGGGTGCGGATCGACAAAACAAGGGCTGCATTTCTACAATTGAAAAATATCTGGAAATCCAAACAAATATCAATCAACACCAAAATCAGGATTTTCAATACAAATGTCAAGACAGTTCTACTGTATGGAGCGGAAACTTGGAGAACTACGAAATCCATCATCCAGAAGATACAAGTGTTTATTAACAGTTGTCTTTGCAAAATACTTCGGATTCGTTGGGCAGACACCATCACCAACAACGTATTGTGCGAGAGACCAAACCAGATTCCAGTGGAGGAGGAAATCAGGAAGAAGCGGTGGAAGTGGATAGGACACACACTACGAAAAGCACCTAGCTGCGTCACGAGACAAGCCCTCACATTGAACCCTCAAGGCAAAAGGAAAAGAGGAAGGCCTAGGAAAACATTACGCCAAGAAATAGAGAAAGACATGAGAAGAATGAACAAAATTTGGACAGTATAGGAAAGGGAAGCCCAGGACAGAGTTGGTTGGAGAAAACTGGTCGGCGGTCTATGCTTCACTGGGGGTAACAAGCGTAAGTAAGTAAGTAAGTTCAAACTGAATTTCATTTACTGATATTTCAGTAATTCAATAGCTTTCATCGATTTATCCCGTTAAAAATACAACGATATACAGGTGATTAACAAAGCAAACTAACAATAGCAGCAATAAGATATAAATTATGATTATCGATGACTTGAGAAAAACGTTTCAGAAAAATATCTCAGGGAAAAATCAGGAAAAAAAACAAGGAAACTTTAGCAATATTTTGAAGATGACACACAACGACCCTATAATCGACTTGTTTTTTGCTTTTCGAAATCAATTTACTTTTGTTTATTGGAGTTAATTTAGGATGATAGAAAATGTAATTATTGGTGTTTACATGTAGGAAATATCACAAATGACAGTGATCGTCACTACGAGTCTTTGATCGATGCAGTGGCCGACCAATTTAAAAGGAACATATTAAGGTTAATTCTATAACAGAACTAGAATTGACAAAGTTGTATGTCACTCGTCATTCAGTCAGTTAGACTCAAAGTAAGAAAAAATTGTTAGGGCAAATCCCAGAGTATTGGATGTGGTAACAGCATAAGTGAAAGTATAAAATATGAGGCTTTGAGTATACAATTTGAGAAAATGTGAATTAGTGGAACAAAAACCTATAAGGGATTTTGAAACTTAAAATCTAGAGTAAGACAAAGATTACATGCTCTTGCTAGGGAAGGAAATCGAGTTGAAGAAATTGCCTTTGAAAGGGAAAAAAGATTTTTTCAATACCTATTTAATAAGGAATTAAGCTATGAAATTGAATAACCCTCAACATTTGTTAGAAGCCATCTACAGTTCTAATGGAAATTAAGTCAGGTTTTTATGGAATAAGGCACTGTGTAAATAAAAAAGAGTTGATTGGTTTAAACAGTGAAGATAGTGTCATTAACTTGAAAATTAGATCGCTAACTAGCCGTTGCTAATAATATTGGACCTTGGGTTGTATTTAATTTATGCATACGTCCAAATAAAGTTGGTATAATTTCGCAAAATCGTGTTGTAGTAGAAGTGATTTTTTATTTTGAACCTAATGATAATGCTAAGTTAGTGAGGAAATTTACATTGACTTGAAGGTCAATTTAACACCGAATAAAGGAAAAGAAATTAGCATAAGTAAACTAATTGATAACGTGCAAACTCATATTAGCTATGCTACATAAACTAGTGTAGCTGACAAAAAACTGGCTTGACTTTGCAACTATATAACATAACTAATGAACTGGCGTCTCTGATGTGTATAAGTGTTAATTTTGTGGAACAAGATCTTGTAGAAGTTGACCTATATATATTCCACAATTAAAAACGAAACCTTTTTATGCATTCATGGAGTATATGATTATAGCGTATAGTAAGTAGTAAAGGTAGTGTGGTTATTAATTTAACCAAATGCTTAAATAAAGAAGATCGTCCGTTACTCCAGAATGTCAATCAAAATAATTAGTTTTCACTTACCAAAGGAGTTGAGAGCTTGTTTAAGGGATATATCAGTTGCTACACCTGTGGCCACTAAAAGTACATATTTCCCTGAAATCGACTAGGCAGTTAGCTACGATACATTTGAAGATACCAGAAAGTATTTGCATTGTATTTGTCATGTCAGTGACCATAACCGACGACACTCATTCAGATTATCCAAAGTTATGGAAACAATCCTATGGTGTTATTTATCATTGGGTAACAAACCAATCATTGTTATAATGAGGGATAGTAGTGATGTTTATGGATGTGAATATAAATGAATTCAGTGTTTGAACTTGTTACGAAAAGCAGAGTGGCAATTCACTGGAAACCAAAGTGAGCTGACGGAGAGTAAATATGAGGTTGGTCTCCTTGTT